CTAATCTTGAGATTACGAGCGCATGCACCAAGGTAGTGAGCGCCCCAACATCAAGGTAGGATCGCTCTCTTTCCTTGAGGCCCTAAGATTAGATGACTTCTTTGTAGTGTCCTCAGAGTATTGCAGATACCTCCCCACTTCCAAGAGTAACTAACAGAAGACAAAACAGGGGTGGGGACATCCCTACCCAAGCAATCTGGAAGTGGCTGGCAATCAACTGGTACACTCAGATTAGTGTAGATATCTCTACACTCAATTCCACAGAGGATTTTCTATCCGTTGAGGTAACAATTGATACACAGTAAAGTAAAATGCAAACCATTTGGTAATAACAGCAGTATCAAATATGACAAATAAGACTTCTTTGTTTTTCTGAAACACAGTACCATTCCCCCCCCCCCAGCCAGTCTGGATTTGTAAAATAGAAAGTCATTTGTGCTGGAAGGTATACACTACAGTTTAATAGAAAACTGAAACTGAATAAAATTGATGCTAGTTATCTGAATGTCTGTTAGAAATGTGAGAAGGAAATTGGTACATACTTTCATATGTGGTGGGAATGCGAAAAAGTAGTGGGAACTACTTTTTAAAGATCTTGGAAACTAATCTTTAAAGAACTAAATGACATATATGAAAAAGATATAGAATTTAATCCTGAGATAGCTCTGTTATCAATATTTGAGAATGTGGAATATGATAAGATGACTAGAGAAATTGATTACCAATTTATTAACAGCAGCTGGATTAATAACAGCTAGGAATTGGAAACCAAAGTCTGAATTTTGAATAGACGAACGGTATAATGAAATATGGAACATTGCTATAAATGATAAGTTAACTTGTAACTTAAAGGTTAAGAAAGGAGAGATGAAAAAAAATAATTTCTATGATATGTGGGGCATTTTTTTTTAATATGTGCTAACAAGAGGAAAAGGGAAAGCTCTAAATCAAGAATAAATGCAGTTCTGGAGAAGAGGACAATAAAAGAAGAATAAAAATATAGGAAGAAGAGGATTACTGCAAGAGGTCCTGACTATGGTGGTCGGGAACACAGTCGATTTGTATTTTGGTTTATGTATTTTATGTTTATGTTTATGTTGTAGTTTAAGAAAGGAAAAAAGAAAACTGTAACGGAAAGCATGTATTAGGAATGTTAGGATTTATGAGTGTTAATCTCTGTTCTCAACAGCTCTTTCTATGGATGATTATCATTACTCACCTGCAATCTTTTTGCCTACCCTTTGTCCAAGGAAAGGTCTAATTCCATTTTACTGCCACTAGCAGTCCTCTGAAGCAGGTTAGGTTGATAGACAATGTGTGGCCAAATGTTATCTAGTCAGCTTCTTGACGGAAGCGTGGGATGGGGGGGCTGGATCTAGATGTCCTGCATCTGAGTCCAGCTCTATAACCACTACATCCACTAGCTTACACTTCAGTGTTGCTCTTCAATGCCCCCAGCATGCTCCCACTCGTTTTTCCACTTAGAACCTGAAGCTTTCCGGTACACCAAAGTGTTAAGACACATGAGTTTCCATACTTTTGATGCAGGCAATTAACTACCTGCAAGTCAAACCTAAATTTTGCGGCCAGAGAAGTCTGTAACTCAAAAAGTCTGTAAGTCAAGCAGTCTGTAAGTCAAGGGTCCACTGTAACTACCATAGTAAAATATGACTCATTAAAATATTCTCTACATATACACTAAATGAAGGAACATTCATAAGGCTTTTAACTTTTTATTTTACCGTAACCCGATTAGCTCATTCTGGTATGAGGCTTTTTCTTTCTCGGCTTCCTCTTGAAAAGTTTTTGTTTGGTGCAGGTCTCTTTCAAGGTCATCTACTTTGGCCTTTAGTTTTGATATTTCAGTTGTTGCAACATTCACTCCTTCCTTAACCTATGAACAATAAATAATTTAAGAAAACCAAGCTAATTAATTTTTTGCATAATTTTTACATGGCTGTATAATGGACATAATTCTACTTTTATTTATTCGGCCAGAAACAAATATGCTAAATTGAACTATTTATTAGTCCTAATCAGTGCACACTCACTGAATTAATGGGACTAACATAAGTGATGACGTATGTTCCATTAATTCAATTAGTCTACTAGATTCGAAATTGACTATCACAACTAGCTCATTAAGTTTGAAAAGAAAGAAATTGAATTAATAATGCAATCCTATACATGTCAAAACAGAAGCAAGCATCAGTATTCATTGACATGTTTTCCCAGTCAAGCAGGTCCAGGATTGCAGCCTTAACCTTTGTTTTTTCATTAATACTGTATGACACCTCACTGAACTTACCAGTCTGTCCCTATCCACCTGAAGAGCTTCCAAATTATGCTTAAGGGAACTAATCTCACTGGTGCAGTCAGAAGGTGTGGAAATCGAACTTGTGCCTTGTTTAGCTTCACGAACTACTCGCAGCTTGCAGAGTTCCTGCAGAAGTCTCTCTCTGTCGTCTTGAAGACTGGACATGGCCTTAGAAAATGCATTCAGCTGCTGAGCATAATTCTCACACTCAGAGGATACTCTGCTGATTTCAAGATTTTGTGTGGTTAACAACTTACACAGATTTTCCAGTTCATCAGCAAGCTGGTCAAGAGTTATCTTGTTTTTAGCTTCTAGTGATGACTGCTTCCAAAGGGAATTTTGTTTGAGCATGCTGAGGAGGTTTGACTTGAAATTATTAATCTCAGCTTCAAGTTTATCCGCACGTTTTTTTTCAAATCTAAGTTCTGAACTATATTTGCTTTGAAGGACCTTGAAGTCTTCAATTAATCTCTCCCGGTCATCTTGCAGGGCTGTCATTGCTTTCTTAAATGATTCTAACTGAGATCTTAGTTCTTTATTCTGAAACTGTACATCCAACAGTCTCTTTTGTGGTGATTCAATTGCTTCTTTCTCCAGAAACATAGCATCTTGTGCATCATCATCTTTATTTTTGCCAATCAATCGCTGGAATTCTTGTAATCTTTGTTTCATTTTTTCTTCAAGTTGGGAGCTGGTGGCAAGTTCTTTCTGATCAAATTTCTGTCCGTCTTGATTCGGGAACTTTTGCTGTGATTCTGAAGCTAACCTCTCTTTGTTTATAGAAGCCACCACGATCTCCAAGTCATGAGCTTTTGATGTTAACTTTGTATTTTCCAGTCTCAGAGATTCTATGATTTCCTCCTGCACTTTCACAGATAGCTGCATTTCTTTCAAGTTTTTCTGAAGCTCAAGTTTTTCCTGTTCAAGATTCTTAATGAGTTCCAATTTCTGTGTAAGTAATTCTTTCAACTGATTGTCTTTCAATGAAAGAACCTGATTGAGGTCTTCTCTGTACTTTATGAGTTGTGCAGTAAGCATTGCATTTTCAGAATGAAGATCATCTATCTGATTCCGCAGCTTCCTTAATTCTTCTTTCAGTGTTTTATTCTCATTAGCACTGTCTGCTACAAGTCTCTCTTTCTCACATAAAACAGCTCTGTGTTCACAGTCTAGATTTTTATGTTTAGAAATAAGGGAATCCCTGTCATTCTGAAGAGAGGACATTGCCTTTTTAAAGGAATCAATTTCACTGGCAATCTCAGCCCTGTCTTGAACTGCCCTGTCAGCTTTTGTCTGAAGATTTCTCAATTCATTCTTCATCCTTTGGCAAGTTTCCTCAGATTGTTCTCTGGCCACCTGCAGAGTCTTTATCTGTTGCTCATACTCTGAAATCTGCTCCCTGTGCTGCGTTTGAATTTGAGTAAGATACCCTGAAATTTCATTGTCTTTTGATGAAATCAGAAGAGAAATTTCAGTGTCTTTCTTATTCAGCATGGCCTTCATGTGGTAAGAAATGGCAACCTGTTTCTCCAGCTCAGCGTAAATCTCACCTTTTTCCAAGAGTAGCTGCTGGACTTCTTGTTCTTTTCTCCTCAAATTATTTCTCAGTATTTCCATCTCTTTTTCTATAGGATTGTTTTTTATCAGATGGTTAAGAGATTTCTTTTCTTTGATCAGGGCCTGCAAAGAATCTTCTTTTGATTTTAGTGCAGCTACCAGTTCATGTTGACTAGTCTGTAGAGTAGCATTCTCTGCCTTTATTCTAGACAGCTCACTAACATGGTCTAAGATCACAGAGTCCTCTACAGATTCTTTAGGTTTTGGTTTATGTATTTTATTCAGTTCCAGGATAGAAGTCTTCAGTTCCAGTTCCTGGATGTGAGACATCTGTGCCTTTATCTCTTCTTGTAATGATGCTATTGTTTTATTACTGGCCTCTATCTGTTGCTGTTTATTTTCAATTGTCTCTTTGAATGCTATTTCCCAACTTTTCATTTCACCAATGACTCTATCTCTGTCGTCTTGAAGGGAAGACATACACTTGGTAAAAGCAGCCAACCTGGCTAAGACATCATTCAGTTCAGTCTGAAGGTTCTTATTTTGAGTGTTTTTAATGCCAATTTCTTCTTGCAACTGACGGTGTTCACCAAGCATTCGTTCCTTCTCTCTTTCAAGGGCCTTGTACTTTTCCTCCAAATTGAGGCACTCTTTTTGGCAAGCTGTTTTTTGTTGTTGGAGGGCAAACTCTAGTTGGCTCTCATATTCTCTCTTTTGATTTAATAATTGGCTTTCTTTCATTTTAAGTTCTTTTTTATTATTTAGGTTTTCGCTTGCCAGCTGTTCTATTTCAGTCTTAGACTCATCTAGCACAGCCTTCTGCAAAGACAGCTTTTCAGTTAGCTTCTGCATCTCTTCATTTGATTTGGACAGCTTTTCTTCTGCATTACTTAAGTCTTTCTCAAATTTTTCACTTCTGGACTGCGACAATTTTACAGATTTTTCCAAGTCCCAAATCATCTCCTGGTATCTAATAGAATCCTTTTGCAACTGGTTGATCTCTTGTTGCTTTTCTTTTAAAAGTTCTTGCAACTCTTTCGTTTTGTTTTTGGTCCCACTGGTGTCTCTTTGAGCAGATTTTACTTTTTCTTCAAACACTCTGACAAGATGTAGGTGCTGCTCTTCTTTTTCTCTAATTGTATTGCATTTCTCTGTTTTTAAATCTTCCAACTGCTGTGTGAGCAAGTTGATCTGTACTTGTTTGGTTTTCAGTCTGTCTGTAGTTTGATCCAATTTCTTGATGTGATTGAGCAACTCTGTCTCCAGAAATTCCTTCTCATTTTTCACTTTGTAAGATGTTTCTTGAGCATTCTCTAATTCTTCCTGTAACATACATTTATCATCTTCTAATATCTTAATTCTTTCACACAGGCTTACTATCTCCTGATTAAGGGTTTTGCAATCATTTTCTGATTTTAACAAAGAGTTTTCTGTATGACGCAGAGATTCTTCAGCAGCATTTAACCTTTCTGACATGAGTTTGTTCTTTTGCTTTAAGATCAGCAAATTTTCCTCCTTTACTGTGACTCCTTCACTTAGCAAACTAATGTGCTTTAATAATGACTCCCTCTCACTGTGAGCATCACTGGTCTTAGATTCTATATCAAAGGTACCCAACTCCAACCTTGTTTGGAGATCCCCCAAGGCAGATTTTGTTAGTTTGAAATCTTTGGAAATGGCCTCATTTTCCTTTTCAATTTTCTCTATGGTCTCTTTTAGGGTTTCAGAAATTTTGTTTAACTGCTTATTTTCCTCTATTAGTAGTTTGTTTTGAAGTATGGATTCATCAATATTTTTTTTATATTCTTCCAAGCACAATTTGTGCTCAGATGCCTGCTTTTCTGCTTCAATCTGCAGCTCACTGATTTCCTTCTGTTTAGACTGAACTAACTGCTTTAGCTGTTCCTTCACTTGTATGTTTTCATCAGTTGCTTTTTGTAGCAGTTTTTGAAGCTCCTGATTATCAGATTCTCTCTCTTTTATTCTCTGAAGAGCCTCCTGCTTTTCTTTTCTAGTGACATCAATAACTCGCTTCATTTCTGCTATTTTACAACTAATATTCTCATATGCTTGAAGCAGCGATTCATATTCCTGCTTTAATTCATTGTGCTTTGCTTTCCAACTTGTTAATTCAACTGTCTGAGAATCTTTTAAGGAATTCAACTGAAAGCAAAAAGCTTCCTTTTCCTGGACTATAGTCTCCATAGTAGATTTCAGACTTTCACATGCAGCATTTAGACTTTCATTTTCAGTTGCCAATCTTGCATTTTCTTCTGCAAGACCATCTTCTTTTCTGCTGCTCAGTTCATTCACCAGAAGTCCAAGAGCTTGAGCCTTGTCAATTAGTTCTTTGTTTTCCAACATCACTATCTCAATTTCTTCTTTCAGAATTTTATTTTCTTTCATAACTTCTTTACGTGATATTAAAGCAGCCTGGAGCTTTCTTTGAAGACGTTCCTGAGATTTTTCTTCAGCGTACCTCTTCTGTTGTTGGGGTTCATGATCCTCCGCATGTGCATGTTTCTCCATCTCTCCCTGAGTTTTTCCTACTGGTGCTTGATTTGTTCCCTCCATTAATAATTTATCTGTGTGAGTGGCATCTAATGATTCTTTTTCAATGTGTCTGGCATCTAATACTGTAGTAGAGTCGTCTGTCTCTTCAACTCTGTTCTGAAACATGTTAGCTGCAGGAAGCCAGATACTTTCTGTATTGTGTTCACTAACCATCACATTTTTTCCTACATTAGAAACTGGTAAAACCTTCTCACGCAGCATATTTAACTCTATCAATAGCTCCTTGTTTTCCTCACCAGCACGCCTTAACTCCTCTTTCATGTTGACTAATTCAGTACTTGATTTTTCAAGGTTGCTTGTAAACTCCTCCCTCTCTTCTCTCATTTTTTCAAACACTATTTTAAAACACTTTGCTTCTTCTTGACTTTCCTGTAAACTCTGCTGTAATTGTGAAACTTCTTTCATTATTTCCTTTCTGTGATCAAATTTGTCTTTGAGATCCTCAAGAGAGTGATGCAAATATCTGATCTCTTCGTCCTTCTCTGAAATTTGTGTGTTGGCTGTTTGAATATCATGCTTTAAATTTTCAATTTCTTCCTTACTGAACTGGTGGTCTCCGCTCTGTTTATAAAGAATATCCTTTTCATTGTTCATGCTTTCAATCAGACTCTTAACACTTATCAGTTCATTTCTGTATGTTTCCAGCTGTTCCTGAAGCTGACCTCTTTCTATCAGTATATTATCTTTGTCTTCCTTATACTGCTGTTCCAGTTGCTCAATAGCACTCTTCAGTTTTATTATCTCTTGTTCCTTCCTATCAAGTTGAAACGACTTGTCTCTTAACTCTTCCTTAAACTTTTCTTCCATAAATCTGATATGGTTATTGTCAGATTTTGTCATCTCAGTCTCACTGGCCGCTATCTCGCTTATCACATTTTCTGATTCCTCTGCAATAATGTGACACTTCAGCTCTGATTCAACGCTATTCTGCTTAGTACTGTCACTCTGATGAAGAGAAGCAGAATTCTCTAGTTGCTTCTGCAGAGAACACAAAAGCAAGAGATTGGAGTCAAATTCTTCACACTTTCTCTGATGTATTTCCTGGAGTGTTTTATGTTCTTTTTGTATGAGTTCCAAGTCTTTTGTTATTTCATCAAGATTTGCTAGCAGCCTAGCATGTTCTTCTTTTTGTTTCTGAATTTTTTTAGTACTTTCTTTTCGGGCAACAAGCAAAGCTTGAAGTTTCTTTTGAAGGATTTCCTTCTCTTTCTGTAACTGATTGACTTCACTACAGAGATGCATATAATCACCAGAAGAGCCATTGGTATTCAATGTAGTGACCGAAGCATTGATTTCCTTTAATATTTCTTCTTTCTTTGCTACCTCCACTTTGAGATTTTCTATGATTAAGGAAAACTGAGAACGCTCCTCCCTGTAAGTTTTATCTTTCTCAGTAAGCACAGACTGCATTTGTTCAAGAACAGAATCTTTCTCCTGTAAACATATTAAATTCCTATCCATCATACTTTTCTGTACAGCTATAGTATCTCTGAATTCAGCAACATCCCCCTGCAGTTGATCCACATGCGCTGCCTCAGCAGATAACATTTCACTCATGTCATTTATTTTGGCATCTTTTTCTACCAACTGCTCTTTCAGTCCATCAAGTTGGGATTGAAGATTTTTGTTGTGAGTTTCAGCATTTTTAACCAACTTTGTTAACTCATCAATCTGCTCCAGTAAATCTTGTGCCTTTTTGCACTCTTTTTCTGCATACTCCTGGCCATTCTTTTCAAGCTTGCCAATCTTCTGCATTAAATCCTTTCTCATTATCAAAGCTGCCTGAAGCTTCCTTTTCAGATTCTCTTTTTCCTGACTTAATTTTTCTAAAGTAATATTTATCTGTGCCTTCTCATTAAGTAAGTCTTGAATTGTATCTTCTTTGTTGCTCAGCATGTTTTGATTGAGTTCAAGGGCCTTCTTACATTCTTCTAATTGTAGTGATAACATACCTGTCTCCTCTGCCATGCTATTCCTAATAGATTCCAATTGCTGCAGTCTGCTAGTAAGTGCATTTTTTTCATCAGAAAATTTTAACATTTCATTAGACACAGATTCCATGACTTGAGTCACAGAGCAGTCCTTTTCTTTCAACTGCTGGCTTAGAGTAGCAATTAAATCCTTTTGTTGGTTAGTCTGAGAAATCAAGTTTTCAATCGTCTGGGTTTTTTGTTCCAGCTCTTCTAAATATTTTGCTACTTCTTGACCTTTAGTGTCCAGTACATGGCAATTGTTTTCAAATTCTTTTTCTAATCTATCTGTCTTTTCCTGGAGAACTGTAACGTGTTTCTTCATGTCTGTTAATGCAATGTCCTTTTCTTCACAAATACACTGTTGCTTACATAATGCCTCCTTTGCAGCAATCAGTTCATTTGATAAATATTCTACCTCAGATTGGTAACTATATTTCATCTTCTCAAAGTCATTTTGCATCAACTGTTTTTCCTCCTTCAGAGACCGCATAATTTCCAGCTCATTATTCAAGTTATGTATTTCTCTTTCTCTCTCTGAAAGGGCCTCCTGCAATGTCATTACTTCAGCTTTTTTGCTAAGAATGTTATCTATCATAGCTGACAATTCTTCCAGCATAGACATACTTTCAGTTGCTTGCTGAACAGCACTCCTATCACCAGCTTTGAGGAAATACCTATTACCTGATAATGCACTCAGGTGTCTGGAAAGCTCCTTTTTAACTATGTTCTGTTCTTGCTGCAAGGACTGAATGCCTACATCTTTTGTTTTCAATTCCCCTTTTAAACTACTCAGTTGCTCAAGATTGAACTCATTTTGTTGTGTTACCCTATCAAGTTCTGTCACCCATCTATTTTCTGCCTCACAAAAATCTTTTTCCAACTTTTCAACCTTAAGCTTTAATTTATCAACTTCTTCACTCTTTACACTAACCTGCATCTGCAACTGCTCTTTCTCTTTTTCCAGCTGCAAAGTGATGGCATGTAGCTGTGTTCGTGAATCATTCTCACTGGTTTCTATTTTTTTGTGAAGTTCTTGCTGTTCTTTTAATTTCTGTTGTAAAATGATTTGGTTTTTAAGCAGCTCTTGGTTTTCTACACTCAGGTTATCAAAGTTCCCCTGCAAAAGAGTTTTATCCTTAATTAAAAATTCCACCTGTTGTTGCAGTTTTTCCACTAGAAGTATATGGTTCTGGCATTCTTGACAGGACTTAGAATTTACAATGCTGAGCTCAGATCTTAAGTTTTCGATTTGTTTGGCTTGTTCCGCGCATTTTTCTTGCAAAACCTGAAGCTCTCTCTGCATCTGTTGAACCTTCTGCTGCCATAACTCAGCCTGTTCCGATGTTTTCAGGTACTCTAATTTTGAAGATTCTATTTCAACTGTCAGAGAGTCAAGTTTCATTTGGCTAATGGCAAGGCTTTCATCTTTTTCTTGGAAAACATTTTTTAGTGTAGCAGAATTTTTTTCTAATTCTTCTCTCAGCAGCTCAATCTCATTAGTAAGAGCTCGAACATTGCTTTCTGCTAGCTGAACACTGACATCTTTCTGCTCTAAAGAATTAAGTAATTCTGCAATAAAATCTTCCTTTTTACTTAGGGTACCACTGAGTTCAATTCTTTCTTCATACTGAGCAGCAAATTTATCCTGCAAAGATAAGAAAGCATTCTCTTTTTCCTGTGCTAGTTCTTTCGACATTTGGATTTCTTTTCTCAATTCATTAATTTTATCATGAAGCTTAGAAACTTCTTCTTTGTTTATTTTTACTTCCTCTCTTAGTTTTTCCATAAGACTGGCATTTTCCAAAAGAGAAACATCTTTTTCTGTCAGCCTTTGGCTAAAGTCATTTATTAATTTATTCTGATCATGTATTTCTTTTTTTAAACTCAAATTTGTTTCTTCTAAATCTGCAGCTTGCTTCTTCAAAGTCTCTTTGTCTTGAAGCTCAGCCTCCAACTTACTGTTAAGCAGTAAAGTATTATTCATCAATGATTCTTTTTCAAGAACAATCGCTTTCAATTTTTCTGATTCAGAAATCAATGACTCCACATGTTTCTGCTGTACAGAAGACTCAGATATGCATGCTTGCAACTCAATACATTCCTCCTTCTTTTGTTTTAAAAAGTGATCTTTCTCTGTAATTGATTGACTTAATTCTTCAATTCTTTCTGTCATATTTTTAATCTGACACTGAAGGTCAGAAATTGTTTCCATATTCTCAGACAGTTGAATTCTAAGTAAATCAGATTCTTCAGATTTATCTTTAAACACTTTTAAATCTTGGGTTTGTTTCTTCAGTTCATTTTCTTTTTCCTGCACTTCCTGTCTAAGAAGATCAACTTCGCAACTAAGAGTCTGTACTTGACTCTGCAAATCTGAAATCATCTGCACATAATGCTTTTCACCTGCATCTTTGTTTTCTTTCATTTGTTGAATCACAATTTCTTTCTGGGAAAGGAGGGTCTCTTTATTGTGAATACTGTCTTTTAATGTTTCTATTTCACTCACTAAGGTATCAATTTGGTCTATAAAAGCTAATATATTATGACTTTGCTGAGATAATGTTAAATTTAAGGGAGCTATTCCCTCACACTTTTTCCTCAATGTATCACTGGCTGTTTCAATATCTGTTTTCAATTTTTCATTTTCTAATTTCAACATGTGTGTCTCATGTTTTGTGGACACAATTTCACTCTGATGTTGCATCAATTGATGCTGAAAAGCATCCAATTCATTTGATTTTGTGTTGCAGATAACCAGAACGCTGTCCTTTTCACATTTCAAAACCTCCACTTCTTTGACTAACATTGCTAGCTGATCACTTAATGCTGCACACTCTTCTGTCTTTTTGTCAATCTGCCTCTGAAGATTTTCAAGCTCCTGCCCCTGAGAAAACAGGACAGAGTCCTTTTCTGCAACCTGCTGAGACAAACAAAGGCCATCACTTTGAAGCCTTTCCACATCTCTCTCTAATTCTGTCAGATTAATTTGTTTTGCTTCTACCTGCTTAAGTAAAGCATCATTTTGCCTGTTTTTTTCATCTAATGATTTGCTTTTAAATTCAAGCTCCATTTTTATGTCTTGAACTTGCTTCTCTAAGGAGAGTATTTTTTCTACCCTTTGACTAAGCTGTTGGACCATTTCTTTATACTCTGTTTCTTTCTGGTTCAGAATTACTTCTTTTTCCTGTAGTCTGTCTTTAGCATCTTGCAGCTGTGTACTAAATGACTGTACTTCCTCCTGCAACTTTCCTGTCATCTCTCTGTTCTTGGAAAGCTCATCACCTAACATACTACACTCCTTTTCTTTTTCTAGCAACTGCCCTGCAACTGAGTTTTCTCTTTGTTTCAAAAGGCCTAAAAGTTCTTCAACCTTGTTTTTGAAAACCTCTTTCTCATGGCTGATCTCTGAAATTATTTTTTCATGCTCAATGGCTCTTGCACTCATCTTACTCTCAATTTCAGCCATAGATTGAGCACGCTTCAATAATTCACACTCTTTCACATCCAATAATTTAGACAAACTCTCATTCTCACTGATAAGTTGCTGCTTTTCCTTCTCCATGGTATGCAGCTCATTTGTAAGTTCTTCACTAGCTTTAAGCTGACCTGTGAAATCTTTCTCTTTCTGCTCAACAGCTGCCTGGAACTGCTTAATAGTCAATATGTTTGTTTGTCTTTCTGTTTCCATCTTATTAATTATTTCACATTTTTCATGTAAGTTATTATTTACTTCCTTCCACTGCCTTTCCATTTGCTCCAGCTCCCCTACTAACTTGAGCTTTTCTTTCTCATTTTGCTGTTCCACAATTTTAAGCTTATCTTTTAATGAAATTATGATCTCTGTTTTTTCTTGTAAAGACTTTTTGGCAATTTCTAGATGTTCAGTATGTTCAGCAAACTGCCTGGATAAACTAGATAACTCATCAACTTTTTTAGCATTTTCTAAAGTTTGTTGATTATACAAATCCTTCACTGTTTTCAATTCATTCACAAAACTTTGTTCTTTGGTCTCTGTTTCTTTCAGCAACGCATGTAATTTCTCCTTTGCAGAAATATGTTCATCAAGCTGGGATCTGAGATGTTCTGTTTCCTCCCTAAATCTCTTCTCAGTTTCCTGCAATTTCTCTGTTGATTTACTCATTTGTTCTTTAAGCAATTTAATTTGTGACTCGCATTCCATGAGTTTGTTGTTGTAAGTAACATCACGAGTCTTGATATCAGAATTCAGTTCTTTAATAGTTTTGCTGGAGTCTTTGATCTGTTGAACTAACTCCTCCTTTTCTTTGGTTTTAACTTCACATTCAACTTTCTTCTTCGCCAGCTCTGCTTCTACTCTGCTTAGTTGCTCAGAGAGTCCAGAAAGCTTTGTGCTTGCATCTTTTACATCTGCTGTTTGTACATCTTTCAGCAGCTGGGCTTCCCTTTCAGCCTTGGACAGTGCTTCTTCCATCTCTCTTATTTCACCCTCTTTGCACTTGATCTGGTGTTTCAGAATATTAACCTGCTCAGAGTACTCAGTCATATTACAGGAAAGGACAGAAATTTCTTTGTCTTTTTCTGCTAACACTTCCTTAAGGTTGTCGATTTCTCTTTCCCGTCTCTGGAGGTCCTGAATGAGTTGAGATCTCTCTTCTAAATGGCTTGTGTTCAGTCTGTCAAGTTCTTCATTTGACTGTTCAAGGTCAAGTTGCATTAATTCTATGGCAGCATCCTGCTTCGCAGTCTGAAAACAAAATTAAATAACACAACTTAAGCATTCATTCTATAATACATTTGAAGGTTGAGACCCCCCAAAAAGTACTATGGGTCAGCTAACAACTGGATGCTAGTCCACAAGACCTATAATACATTTGAAGGTTGAGACCCCCCCAAAAAGTACTATGGGTCATCTAACAACTATGATGCTAGTCCACAAGATTTTTACCATGTGTGCCCACCATTCCACAATCATATACTGCCTTTTAAATAATCTCTATTTCAGAAGCATTCCACAATCATGTATTGGCTTTTAAATAATGTCAATATATCAGAAGCAGTTTACCCTTAGGTAGAGGTTGAAGAAAAATGGACATAATATTCTCTTCGATACCTATAATTAGTTTTATAGATCTTTCTCCAAGTGTATCTTTATGCAAAGTATGGGCTAAAATTTTCTTGAGTAAATTATATCTATATACTGTAAGAGTGAGGCCAGTGACTGAATAGCTGTGTGAGTTAGAAAACTGGCTGCAGAGCCAGAAGTTGCGAATTCAATACCCCACTCTGCCTCCTGTAAACAGAGCCACCCTGTTTGACCCTGGGCAAGTTGCACAGTCTTAGGGCTCCCATGGAATAAGGGAATGGTAAAACACTTCTGAGTACTCTATACCTAGAAAACCCTGGAAAGAGTCACCGTAAGTCGGAGTGACTTGAAGGCGCATTATTATTAAGGGTGATAACATCACTGGCAATGGCAAACTGGCTGTGATTAAAGAATTCCTGCTTCTATCTCTGGGCCCACCCAACTCCCTTGAAGCTCACCCACAATCATTCTTACTGTGGGTAAGTTGGGCAATCTCAACTATTGGCTGGAGGAACTCTTTAACTGCCGTCAATCTTGCCCTTCTGGTAATGTCGTTTTGGAGAGACTGCCAGTAATTGCTTAAATCTCAGGTCTCACTCTAGGTGCCTCTAACTAGCGAGCTATGAATCACTGCAGGCAAATTGGGTGACTACCAAGATCAAAGCAGGAATTCTAAATACCATCAACCTTCTCCTGGATGACATTACCAAAAGGGTGAGATTCCTACTGATTAAAGAGTTCTGGCAGCAATCGGGGTGGGTGGGGGTGCCACCCAACCCACCCTCAGTAAAACTGACTACAGGTGACCATGGATGAGTTGGGCGAGCTCCTTCTGAGTACTCTATACCTATCAGGATTGGTAGTGACATTATCAGGATTGTTATATTGTTCCATATAACATACATAACCTAATAAACATAAATTCTTGAAATCACAAACTTTCTCTAGAATCAATTATTGTGTTTACCTTTTCTTTAAGAACAGCAATTTTCTCTATAAGATCACAGATAGTAGCTTTTTGTTCTGCACACTCTGCTGTATAAGAATTACATTTCTTCAAGGCATCTTCCAACTAGATTGGAAAAAACAGTTCATGAAACTATAATTGACTGACAAAACTGTACATTATATAGTACTGTACTGACGCTTATAAGATAAACTACTCAAGATAAATTCCGATCATAATTAACCTTGTATTTAACATTACCAAGATGCAATTTTTGAAGCAGATATAAAAACAATCAAAACTGAGTTGACAGTGAATTAAAGCTGCTTGCATTCTGCTCAGTTGCCATGGCATATGACTGGAAGCATTCTGAATACCTATGTAACTAACTACTGCCCTCCTCTCATCTGTATTGATTCAACCTCACTTTCTTGGTTAGTGATTCTAGTCATGTTTCTTTAAACGTCTTAATAAACTATAAATTTGGGAAGAGAGAAGGAATACAGATTGCCAAACTGTGGTTTGTCAACTGGACAATGTGATATCTGAGCTGAACCTCTGTTTGACTACTTTGATTTCTCACACACAAATCAAACCCGACAACAGTTTTTACCAAATCTGTATCAGCAAAGAGATAAACAACTGCAAGGAAGAGAGAAAACTATCCTTTTGTTTACGAAAAAACATTAGGGGATGCCAAGACACAAGGAAATCAGTACAGCAGGACTCTCATATCCATGAGATTAGTATCTCTGATTTCACTTATCCAAGGTCTGAAAATATTGAAAATATTAAAAGAAATAAAATCCAGAAAAACTATTTCTCAGGTATTACCAGAACTGGCCATTAGAGGGAGCCAGAGATCATAATGTGAATAAAGTGAAGAATATATAATATTGTCTCTGGTACCCTCTAATGGCCAGTTCTGGTAATTCATGTGGAAAAAAATCTGTTTTTTCCCATTTTTTACCATGTTATATATTGAGTGTTCCCTATTATTAGCATAATAATTATATTTTCAATATTCACAGGGTGCTTGGAACCAATTCCTAGTGGATATGGGAGTCCTACTGTATGTTCACATGTAACTTTTTTTGAGGCTACCCAACCAAGTCCAGCCTAGATTTGCAAGCTCGTTTACGTAAAATAGCACAGTCAATTTCAAATGAACAATGTATACAGTAACCGCAATAAATTAATATTTGCAATTGTCCCCCAAAATAACTTCAATAACAGTCAGCTGCTTAATGTTAGAGGTACCTTTATGTACACAGTTAAGATACATTTCCCTGGATTGCAATCTGCAGTTATATACCTATTTATCTGGGTCCAAAAACCATTGATACTGTTGGAGGGCACTTTTGAGTAGTTACATACTGTACATGATTGTGTCACAGAGCTACAATCCTAAATTATCTTACTACAGAATAAGACCAACTAAATTCAATTAGTTTGTGACACTGTGCAACAACTACATAATATGATTCCAGTTTTATCAGTATTTAGTATACAGGGGACAAAAAGGTTGCAGAAATAAAACAAAACAAAAACAAACAAACTGGAAATCCCTTGGGTAGCATCCAGTTCATTCATGGACTAAATTACTATTCTGTCACTTCAGTTCTACAATCCATTCTCTTTGCCTGCTCACTTTATAATACAGCAGTGATGCTACTGGTTTACAGGTGATTCAGAGGATTATCAAGGGAAAAATGTGACATGCTCTAAGGAATATTCTGAACCAGTTTATTTAAACTGATGAGGAAACCACTCAGCTAAGGAGCACACTTTACATTTTACCTTCTGTTCAGTTTGCAAAAGCTTTTCACCCAGTTCTTTGTTTAGAAGGTCTCTGTCTTGAAGTAAATTTCTCATGTCTTCTATTTGTTCTAGCTTTTCTGTTGCACTTGAAATCTTTTGCTCCTTCTCCCCAAGCAAAGTTTCAAGCAAACAATTTCTTTCATTTAATCTGCCAACAAAATAAATTTAGATTGAGGCTTATCAAATATAATACAGCCAACATGGTTTGGATATATATTATCTGACAGTGGCCAAAATCCAGTTACTTCGCCTAGCACATCAGACTAGAGTAGACCCATTGACTCAATGTGGATTTGGTAAGTCAACTTCTCTGTAAGTTCCACTGATTTAAATGGGCCTCCTCTAAATGGGACTTACTTTAACATAGTAAGTTACAGATAGAATAGAGCTAATTGAATCAATGGAACTTACAGAGGCGCTGACTCATCTAAGTTCCCATTAATTCAGTAGGCCTATTCTGGTATAATGTACTAAACTAAGAAACAGGATTTTGGCCACTGTATCTATGTATCCAGAAGTGAAATAGTATTTTCTAGGAATTAGCATAAAAAATTAGGAATCAAAATAACTTGAAAATAACTAAGCATCAATATAACCTTTGAAAGGGGAGGTACCTCCCAGTTATTTGCTATAGAAATAAAAGTTCATAGATATTAAAAATATAGTTGTGCCTCGCTTAACGGGTGCCCCGTTTAACGCCGAAATCGCATAGCGATGAAGATTTGCGATCGCATTGCGATGTTTTAAATGGGAAAAAATCGCTTTGTTTCGCTTACTGATCATCGCAAAGCGATGATTTTCTAACAGCTGATCGGTGGTTCCAAAATGGCTGCCGGGTAAAAAACATGGCCGCCCGCTGTGTTTAGGGACGGATTCCTCGCTTACCGGGCAGCGAAAATGGCTGTTGTATGGAGGATTTTTGCTTTAAGGTGAGATTGAAGCCCATAGGAACACATTGAAGGGGTTTCAATGCATTCCTATGGGCTTTTTAAAATCGCATAGTGACGAAATCACTTTGCAGCGATTTTTGCTGCACCGATTATCGTCGCTATGCGAGGCACCACTGTAAATGCACAGTACTGTATTACAGTACTGAATTACACTCTGTTATTGAATACAACAATGGACGCAAAAGAAGTGTGATTTAAAAATATTTTATCTTACCCTTTAAGTTGCTCATTCAAACTGGAAACAAGAACTTGGTGTTTTTCTGCATCACGGGCTTGTTGATTGCGCAGCTGTGTAAGCTGGGACTGCAAACGGTCATTCTCATTCTGTGAAAAAAATGATACATATGACTATCATGTATGCATGCCATGTAAAAATGATACATATGACTGCCTACAATAACAGGATTTTGTCATACATAGCTCATCAACTATTATCAAGAAAAATAGTAACAAGAATATCTTAGTACAAACAGTTATTTCTTTGAAAGGTTTTTCCTATAGTGATCTCAACACGTGATAATCAAAATGGAAGAACCTTACACTGATACATAAAATCAAACCGTGCTCACATCTGCTGTGTGGGAGAAGCTTACTTCTAACACAGGAGTGTCCAAAAGCAAAATATTATATATATTTTAAAGCCCAGGGATTTATTTATGCCCAGCAGAATTTTAATTTGATAATAACTGATTTAGATTGAATTCCTGACACCAGAATTCATTTTTTTCCTTGCACTTGTCAAAAATCAGTGGGTGATTAGTAACAAGGTGTGAAATAGATCACAGAATGCAATCCACAGGCAATGAAGCAAGCTCCACTGACACAGTCCATTGGTTATGCAGTCTAAATATGTTAGTCTGCCCACTTTTACAACCCTAGTGCATGAGGTTAACAGCAAACCAATCAAACAGAAGAAGTTCAAACAAATCCAAACTTTATAATCAAATGCTGGGTAAGTTAGACAGCACGTCAAGGATCACTTCTAAAAAAAATAAGCTATTTGTTCAGAATGGGCAAGACACACCTGTACAGCCCTCAACAGCTGCCCTTCGTCTTCCACACCAAATGCCACCTGTATTGAAATGCTTTGTTACAACTTAAATATACATTGACATGTTGTTATTTGAGTAAAATATTGTAACCCATTCAACATGCATTTTAGTATGTTAAGAGAACTATTAGTCACACATTTAGATTCAAAGCCCAAATATTCAAGATCAAAGTCTATTTAGCATGGACCTTGGAAACATATGCTTACTTTATGCTCCACATGCTTTAATTAGTGAAATTTGATTAGGGTGATTTTGGACTGCAGTAGATTGCTCCTAGCATCCCTGCCTGCTTGGTTCTAATTCTGATGTAAGAGTACTGCCTTCTCACTTCTCTGCATTTCATTCCATCTTCCTCCAATATCTTTTGTTGGCAATTTATCTCAGCAGTATCAGAACATTTATAAGCATTCATTGACAACACTGTTATTCAACCAATGGCTAAGGAGCTCATCTTTATTGGTTTTTTAATCACATTTGTGTGGCTGTTTTTTTTTAAACTACAAATCCCAGGATTCTCCATTCTGGGAATCCCAAGTGACAATCCAATATCTACAGACATTTAAGTGTGGCTTGTCTAAGAAAAAGGCCTGAGCCCCAAGGCTTTAGGGCCTAGCACATGCCTTGTTCCACCTAGTTTCTATCTTTGGAAGTTGTCCCGGTACTTGTTGTGAGCTTCCTTTTTGGAAAGGAGTCTACAAAGAAGATCTTAAACTCTGTTTACCCACACCCTATTTCTACCAAACCTACTCCAAGGATTTGCCCTGACACATTTGGACCAGAAATAAATGAAGAAGCGATGAAACTGAGTACTGATAGCAACACACAGAGCACCTAGTGTACCGTTTCTTAAGTACTTGTTAAGCAGTTAATTGTGGCAGCCACCAAAACATGTAGCAGTCACAAAACTATTCACCTTGATTATCTTTGTTAAGCAGGGATGATTGCATGAACAAAGCAATACAAATTAACCTTTCTTCAATACGCTGTAAGAATTCTAATTTTATACCATCCGATTATATATATTACTCTTTTAATTAAAAACTGCTTAAAACAGAGAAACAAATACAGTGGTGCCTCGCATAACAAGCGCACCGTTTAACGACGAATCTGCATAGCGATTCGTTTTTTGCGATTGTTTTTACGATCGCATTGCGATGTTTAGATAGGCTAAACATCGCATTGTGAAGATCGGTAAGCGTTTCGCTTACTGATCTTCGCATTGCGATGTTTAGAAAAAAGCTGATCGGCAGTTCCAAAATGGGCACCGCGTCACCAAAATGGCCGCCCGCAGCGTTATTGCGCACTGCCCTCGCTTACCGAGGCAGCGAAAATGGCGCGCTATGGAGGATCTTCGCTCAACAGTGAGTTTTTCCCCAATAGGAACGCATTAAACGGAGAATAACAATATATGTCTGAATTTGATTTCTCCCTCTCGCTCACTGTCTATATTTCTTTATGATATGTGGAACTATTTCTAGAAGAGAATGTATTGAATTACTATGAAAAACATTGATTTGTAATGTATCCATTCAAATCCATCCCCTCTGAGGGTACCCCTATCCCAGCTGCCCCTTACCTTACCCTACCTTTATAAGGAAAATAAAAAATTAAAATTTAAAAAAGAACTTGAGGGCCAAATTAGATATCAAATGGTATTCCCATGTTCGTTATTCCTGTCTGCCTGATTTGCATATAAAGTGCAGTGGAGAGAGGACCGTTAAAATGACTAAGTAGGAAAGGGAATGAAACCAGCCTCCTACCCACACTTCACTTTTCTGCACTTCAGAATCAGAGACAGACGGATAGAAAACTGAAGAACTCCAATGAGGAGAAGAATCCCAGTGAGACAGGGCGAGGAAGGAAGGTCTTTGACATGTACCTGTAGAGCTTCCATTCTGCCTTGCAGTTGAAATCTATCTTCCAAGTCTCGACAACGTTCCTCCAGGAAAAGAATTTGTTCTTGCAGTTGGTTTCTTTCCAATTCTAACTCTTCTACTACAGTCCGTAAACCTATTTTATTTCAAAACAATTTCTGTTAGAACTCTCACCTCAGTAAAGAAATCTTAGTCATTTAATCGTATAACCTCTAAGTAAACTATTACATTTGCAAATGAACAATTATGAAAAACCATTTATCATACGAACTGCCACATGTTTTGCACCAGATGCCTCAAACAAAAAGAGAAGGGATGCCTCTAAGTTGGCAACTGCTATTCTTATTTTTTTAAACACATTCCTGTATTGAAAGCATTAAAAAAAAAATAAACTGGCCACTCAACTGGCTAAATTTTTAATCAATTAATGCAATTAATTGTTTGATTTTAAATTGTACCATAATAATTTTATGAAATGTTCATTAAACTTATGTTAAGAACTAATTTTAAAAATCTCATAAAATTAATCTCTGTGACTCAAATTTGAAGATTTTCCTTTCTAAGATGATATTAATGTCCAAGTACACTGTTGAAGAAGAAAAATAATCTGTTGCAGCAGGAGTGAGAAACACATAGAGACCCTCCAGATACCAGTAAATTACAACTACCATCATTCTATATCAGGGGCCATGCTGCCCAAGTTGCCCACTCCAATATTACAGATATGAAATTGCAATAAAGATTCCATCCAAATGCCTCTTTTAGGGTACTAACTGCTCTCAACTACTGCAGCTGTCTTTCAGAGTGTTTGCCGGCTGTTAAAAGTCCAGAAAGGAAGATAATTCTGGTAAGAACTCTTACCATAGCAGATGAACCATGTAAACTATACTCACTAAGTGTAAATATTATTTTAGAAGCAAAGAAAGCTTTGGTTGGTATGCGTCTGAGATTTCCCAGCCTACTGTACCTCACAGAGCTTTTACAGAATAAAATGAAAGTAAAGGGAGACTCTGAATATTCTCCCAAACTTCCTTGAATAAAATGTAGGGTAATGGCTCTAAAACAGCCTACCTAGGTAAGCTAAGTTGGCCCCCTCACTTTCCAACTATCCTTCAACTAGCAGATACAGTCTATATTTGTATTTTCTTAATTTTCTTACTGATGTGTTAAACTGAGATCTTCTTTAATTTAAGCTTGTTTTGTCTTTTATTTCTACTTTTATTCAGTCTTAGTGTGAGCTGCCTTTTGCCTTAGCTTTGGGAGTAAAAGCAGGACATACACTGAGTAAATGAATACATCAGGAAGCAAGTAAAAACCTTTAATGTTAATATAATGAATTTATTCCTGTTTTAAGGTTTTTAATACTTTTAAATTGGCAAGTACCGTAAGTCACTTGAGTCTCAGTTCTAGGAACATGGTGACATATAAATAAAACAACTAACTCACTAACTAACTAAATAAATGATAGTTTCTCAAATTGCTCTATTACACTAAAAAATAAATTAAAGGATGGAAATAACGTAACAGTCCCATGGATAAGATGTCCCCACTGTCTGAAGTTATATCATACTGATAAAGTAAATAAAATCTCCCTAATAGAATGAAGTTAAAATATATTCTTTCTTCTCTGCTTCTTTCCTTTCCCCCTTGTCAAAGAATCTGAGGGTGGTGAGTACATCTTAGTGCACAGAATTAAGTTCCAAAAACTATTTGCTTATGTGGGCAAGTTTAAAATTTTGCTTTGTTTCCTATCCTATATCTCATTCCAAGAGCAGCAGATCATTTATTCATATCAATATTTGTATTTTCAACATTATATTGTGCAACTATATTCTGTAAAACATGCATTTCTCAATATAATTTAAGCTGACCTATGTAACAAATTTCCAAACACTTCCAAATTTCCCATGAGTGCTAGGCAACTGAAAATGTACAGTTTCATAAAATAACTGCATTTGAATTACAATTGCCTCTGTATGAATACATAAAGCTAACTGAACCAGAAATAATTGGAAAACATTATCCTAATTCTATGAAACATAACTGGAAAACAATGGTGGGCTGTAGAGGAACTTCCACAGAAACAAGACTAGAACTTAAAACAAACAAACCAAAACTTACCACAAATGACAATAATCTTTATTCAGAATTAAGAATCCAAAGTGTTAAACCACGACTGAGTTCTAGTTTTGAACCAAAACTAGACAGTTCATTCAGCACGCACATGCTTCAGAACGAAACAAAAAGGCGAGTGAAAAAAGAAAATTCAACAGATACAAACACAACACAACATGGTTTGTTAGTTGAATTTGGAAAACAAAAATAAGACACAACAGACGTTGGTGCATGCCTTAATAAACTGTCTAGTTGTGCCACACCTGTACTAGGAGAACTGTACTCTGGCCACCAACCTCCCATATTTTCTCCTTCAGTTGAATCACTGCTGTCCAAAGTGGCATTCATCTCTTCAAAGCACTGTTTTCCATCGAAGCCATAATCTTCCTAAATACAGGGGAGGGAAATCTGATATTAAAAGCCTGTAAAATATACATTGTAACATTTAGAATAACAACACCCTATTCATCTAACTTTCCTTAGATTAATGAAGACAATACAGCAACAGTACTGATAAAAAAAACACCATATCTATCTTCATTGTTCCAGTCCACATGTTAAGACACCATATAAACCTAGAGTGCAACAGCAGTTTAACAGCTACTTATGATTAACGCCAATCAACATTCAGATTTTCAATGCCACTAAATTACCTGGAGCTTCCTGCTGGACTGGGTGCTCTTCCTTCTCTCTGGCTCCATCCTGCCAATCCCTTGACCTGTAGCCAGTTCCTCCTCCAGCTCCTGCTGCCCTGAGACTATGGCTGGATCAGAGCAGCCAGGAAAGAACCAGTCATCCTCAATCAGTTTTGTGCCACAGGAAAGCAATCACACATGAGACAAACATGTTGTACACATTCAAAAGGGGTCAGTGATACAGACAGAGAGATTTATGAAGAACTGTCAGGAATATGTTATAGATGCACTCCATACCATCATTCGCATTGGGATTTCTCCCTCTAAGGACAGATGGAAACAATTTGCAAAGGGTTCTTTTAAAAGAAGCCATAGAGCAGTGGTCCCCAACCTTGGGCCTCCAGATGTTCTTGGACTACAACTCCCAGAAGCCTTCACCACCACCTCTGCTGGCCAGGATTTCTGGGAGTTGAAGTCCAAGAACATCTGGAGGCCCAAGGTTGGGGACCACTGCCATAGAGGGTATCTTGCAGATGTATTCTCCCAAATAAGGAAAAGTTTGTATATAGATACTGACAAAGAGGACAGCCACTTGCACAATCAAATTAAACCTAAATTAATTTGACCAAAATCAAACACAGCTGATGTGTATGATAATGTATTCAGCTATGCATATATTTTTACAAAACCTCAGGAAGCCTTGCTTAGATTTTTGATAATAAAAAGAATTCTTGTTACAGGTAACATGAGGAAGTCACAAGCCTGTATTACACAATGCAAATAGGTATTAAGCCATAATTGGAAGATTTAAATTATATGGGCTTATTTGTCAATAGCACACAATAATTTCAAAAGACAGCAGTTTAAAAAAAAGCAATTCATTGCAAGAGATAATTATTATTTCTTTATTTTAAGGACATTCCCATCTGTTTTGTGTGATCAACAAAGCATGTATATTTGGAAGATGATTCATAAAGCAGACAAAAGTCAGCATGAAGAAATAAAGGCAAAGCTGGCTCCATACTCTGCTTACTGCTTTAAAAAAAGTAACCCAACTACAACTGTTTACCTTCAACAAACATTATTGAAACAAATACTGACACCTAAATCAATAAGGTAAAACTAGTATGTCCAAGTCTAAACCTCATACTGGACTCAGGATAAGGGGCCACACTGAGTAAACTTTTCCTGTTTTTGCTAGGAATTTAGAAACTTCAAAGATTCTTTTTTTAAGTCCAATCCTGGGATGGTGGTCTGAATGTGACAAATGCAGTGATATTTGCTTTGGCTGTGCCTCATTTAGAGGCCTGGATTAGCTGTGCTTTCCTGCTACATATACTCTTTTGGGGTATGGGGTACTTTGTGAAAGATCCAATATAACAGTATCAATTTGAATTATCTACTGATAGTCATTAAATTTTTCAGTACCTGCAATTTTAACACAAACTGCCCGCAAGTTCAATGCAAATGAAATAATCTCATTAGAAATTGCTAAAAGCAGTTTACAATTGCACCTGACTAGCTAAGCTCTAGTGTATATGAAAAATAATGAAATCCCAAATTACTGATGAATCCTTTCATCTTCCAAACAATAGTAGTAAAAGCTTGTCATTTCAAATAAACTAAATCAGTCCTGTTAGTCAGTCCTGCTGAAACCAAATCAGTCCTACTACTGGATCACTGCAGCTAGTTCAAACCTAGCACTATAATGAACAGAATAAGCATGTCATTGTATGACTATGTGTTCTGTTACAAACATGGGGCATGATCCTGCAAAAACAAAATGTTTATAAAGTTTTACTGGCCAAAACCCAGTTGGCAGAACTCTACCAAGCAAACTGTGATGATGCCATCACCCAGCAATATTATTTTTTTCATTACAATCTGACTGAAAATGTTCTATTCCCATCCTAAGTTTCAAGGCTTCCTAGGGATCCTTTTGCCCTGGGAAAGCCTTTGGAAGCCTCAGGACAGGGAAAAGACTTTAATATTGGAATATCACCCTGCTGCCACCTATCCAGCAAGAATTTTTCAATAGTAAAGGCTTGCCACCACTATCTTGAAGCTTCCAGAGGATTCCTCGGAGCAAATGAATCTATTAGGGAGTCTTGGAATATAAAGTCTAACATTGCTGGAGATGAGATGTTCATAATTCCAGAGCTCCTCGCCCCTGAAGTCACCTAGAATCCCCTAGGCAGACTTCTGGAACAGGGAGAGGACAAAGGAGAAGACTTTGTAGTTTGTAGTGTTTTGGCTGGGAAGCAAAAAGGAATATTCTCCTTAGTCACACTGCTTGCTGGGAGTCACCTCACTGTTCCATGGAAGGGTAGTTTATTTAGAGTTTTCCTCTAAAAGATCTAATGGGCAGCAAGACTAACCTTGCCATGGAGCAGTGAGATGATTCCCAGCAAGCAGTGCATCTAAAAGGGTGTTCCCTTCTACTTCCCAGCCAAAGGACAGGGAGCGAAGCAAATAATTGCAGTAGGAAGACTTGTCTGTTGCCTTTTGCTTTCTCCTCTCCCAGTCCTAGAAGTCTGTGTAGGATATTTTAAGTGGTTTCTGGGGCCGGGAGTCCTGGAATTATGAAAATTCCATCCCTAGTCATCACCATTTACACTCTGTGAAGTTGTGCAACAGGATTCCAGCCATTAGTAAAGGTTTGCTACCCTGACAGCTCAGTTAGGTTAGAGAAAAAACCTGTTTTAAAGAGAACTGAAAGTAGTTTAAAAAGACAATTCAATTAATTTTACAAATGAATCTGTCCTTTCTCTCACTGTTGCCTTTCATGCAGCTTTGGAAATCAACAGTCCTTAACAAAGAGGAAAGTGGTAGGGATGCGCTGGCCATCAATCACTCTTTCTCAAGTCTCTGAACCCCAATTTCTCAAAGCATTTATTAAAATTATTCCACTGGAAAAAGTGGGGTCTTAAAAGTACTTAGCATTCATTATTTTGTTCCCTGTAATGGGGTAATCTCACCATGAGACCCAGCAACATGTGCACTTCGATGTACGAAAGCCCATTCCATATTCACTAGAGGGCTATGTCTTCATACTAACTTGACTTGTTCTCATAAAAGGTAAGATTTATTTATTTAGTTGTCAGTACAATGACTGCTGCATTTATGGTCTAAATGTTCTTCTTCTGAATATCTTGTTTGGATTTATTCAAACATCTGCTCCCAAAAGAGAGCATCTATAGCAAGCCCACAGAAATAATGTTTAATTCTGAAGGTATGTCTATCAAGTAAATATGGAGCCAGTGACAATTTTTTTGAAAAAAGGATGAAGATGATTCTGTTAACATAAATGAAGAAAGAGGTGTTGCACAGGGGAAGAAATCCAAGTTTAAAAACAGCATTTGTTACTTGTGCTAAGAAAAAGAAAAGGAAAACGGAAAAAAACATAGCACCACAATTAGCAGTTATAATGCACTATTGAAGATTTCCCACAAAATAATACAGAAGAAAATCAGCAATAGTACATATAGGCTGTTGTGGCTGCAGAATCCTGCATGCACAAAACTGATGGGAAACTATGTTCTCAGTGGCTGACCAAATCGCAGTGGAGGTTAGGAGTGGAGGGGGAAGGGCGTCAAGTGCTCACCAGGTATAACCGCAAAGGGGGGAAAAACAAAACAGAAAGGTCATGCTTAACCCAAGGGAAAATGCAAAATTAAATATTGAGTAGACATACAAGATCAACATTTGACCATACTAATGCATACAGGCATAATGTAACAGGATGTTTCAACCCTAGACTTTCTTAGGAACTACAATAGGCTGATGTACAATATATGCACAATATGAAGACTCGCCATGAAATCAATGAATTGGGATTAGCGTATACTGCTTACATACCTATGGTATGCAGTTCTCACTCACTAAAAATGGAAATAGTACCCACTCAGGGCTTTAGGATTTATTCAATGGTCGTGAAAAGAAAACACAACTAACAGGATTTTGCTAACAACCAAGGAAAGGAATTCAGAAAAACAACAGCAATTTGTTTTTGTAAGATTCTAGCCTTGCAGCATCCCTAAAGATGACAAAAATAATTCCTGCCTAGTCTGCTCATGAGGAGCCACCTTAAATACTAAGATTTAGGAGATAAATGTAAAAGTTACGAAGATATCAATTGCTTAAGTGTTACTTTGGTTTGTTTATTTTAAGTTTCATATGTGTATATATACATACATCTGCTTAAGAGAGGCATTTAATGCAGAGCCACAGAGCAAATGTGGTTTTTGCTGGGCAACCCTCTCTTCTATTACCAGTGCTGCAATTCTTCAGGTTATCATTTCAGGTTCAATAAATATGTGCAGACAAGGCTGCATTCCCGCAAGCTCACATTCATGGGCCCTGTTTCCCTAGTAACTCATCTGCAGGCAGAAAATAGTTAACAGAATGCTAAATAGCTATCCTAATCAAAAATGTTTAAGTTATTAAATTTAAATTAAAATAGGGGCCCCAAAGATTAAAGAGCCACACAGAACTGCTGAAATAAAAAAATACACCTCCTTGATAAGCTCCTAATGTTTGGAGGTTAAATCCTATAATCCAATCACATGAATAGACAGCAGTACCCCTGTAGTAGTAGTAGTAGTAGTAGTAGTAGTAGTAAGTAGTAGTAGTAGTAGTAGTAGTAGTAGTAGTAGTAGTAGTAGTAGTAGTAGTAGTAGTAGTAGTAGTAGTAGTAGTAGTAATAATAATAATAATAATAATAATAATAATAATAATAATAATAATAATAATAATAATCGTAGCAGTAGTCACCGTAGTAGTAGTAGTAGTGTCATCCTGTCAAGTTATTTTCAACTTATGCCAACACTTTCCAGAGTTTTCTAGGTAGAGAACACTCAGAAGTGGTTTACTATTCCCTTCCGGGGATGCTCTATGGCTGTGCAGCTTGCCCAAGTCTACACAGGCTGGCTCTACTCCCAGGAAACACAGTGCGGAATCAAACTCCTGACCTCTGTTACAGTACCATAAAATGGACTTCTTCAGAGCCTAGCTGTTGCAGGAAGGGGTTGCGAGAATTTTTATATTTAGATCCAGCTACAGTATATTAAATTTCTTTAAAATTTAGGTAATTACTGTTTCTTTTTGATGCCACAATGTTTCCAATGCTATCTTACTTGCAGTAGTGGGAATTCTTAGGATGGGGTTGCACAACAAACTAGATGAAACCAGTAGCCAGATATTAGTAAAAACATCTACCCACCTGACTCTTATCTGACTGCAATAGTAAATTCAAGCTTTAAAACTGTATGAAACTATCAATGTTCTTCCAATTTAATAAAATTACCAAATGTCACCTCAGACAGATTAACTTACCTTCTCTCTCCTCTTCAATCTGTGCCATCCTTAGAGCCATTGCAGATTTTTCCTCTCTGATTTGACTGTGTGCTTCCTCAGATTCAGTTACAATTTCTTGCCATTCCAATAGCCGACTCTGGAGTTCATCCATACTGCCTGATTCGCTAGGCTGCACAAATGAAGTTGTGACATAGGCATTCCATAACCACACTTCAGTAAAGGTTATAATATGAATGCCCTGGCAATAAGCAACTCTGTTTAACAACACTAGAATAGCAATGTTGCATCAGACCAAAGGCTTATCTAGTTCAGCATTTTATTCCCACAATAGCTATCCAGATTTGTATAGGAATCCCACAAGCAGTGGAAGAACACAAGAGCACCCACTACCTATTCATCTTCACCAGCAGCTAGTATTCAGAGACGTTGTGGCTAAAACTCTGTTGTGCAGCTCCGTGTACACAAGAGTGATATCAGCATCAGCAGGAAACTGACACCAATCAAAGGCTTCCTTTGGCAATTTCAAGGGGCATGTGACTTTGTTCCATTGTGTACAAGTCATAGGCATCTCTAAACTGTTTTTAATTAGCTATGATTTGTCTTTAATCAGTGGTGATTTGCTGCTGATATTAGCATCATCTCAGTTGTGAACGCGGAACTGCAGAAGGGGGTATCAGCACATCGTCTCTAATTCTAAAGTAATTAATAGCCAGCATGGCCGTCACAGCCGCTCAGAGTGGCATAAATATACCAGATGGGCGGGATATAAATCAAATAAATAAATAAATTATAGCTGTATCCCCAATATATTTATTAAATTCCATTTTGAAACCAATCATTACAACCTATCAATTATTTATACACTTCTCTTATGACATCCTTTACACTTTTTATTAGTGAACTCAAATACCGTAACCTTTGCTCAGGGCAGGTTCTCCAGCCCCCGATCATATTTGTTGCTCCTCTCTGAATCATTTCCAGCTCTGCAATATTAGTTTTTCAGGTGTGATTGTCAGAATTATACCTAGAAGCCCAAGTCCTGTCCCCAAGTGCTGGATCCAACAGAATCAAATTTTCTTTCACACACTCACTGGATCAACAAATGTGATTCAAGTGAATATCCAAAGCAAGGAGGAAAGTGAATCTGCGCACTTGAATTATAAAGCTGGACTTCCAAACCTTTGGTGGTGACTTTTTTGTACCCAAGTGCAGCTGGAGGCAGGAGCACAAAGAAGTCAGTAGAGATGCATCTGTGCCAACTTCTGGCTTATGAGTCACTTACACTTTGTCATGTCACAATAGGATAGCTCCTTCTCTTAAATTGGCCATTCTAGCATGAACCAGCCTTACAAGCAAGCCTGGCTTGCTTTCATCTTTCAAAAGATAAAAGACTCTATTGCTCTGATTCTTCCTCAGGACATACTAATAGGCATGAGTTGAAATCTCATTTTTATTTTAAAATGGTTTTTTATCAGATTCAGATGCTGCATAGCACAGGCATAGTGACAAGAGAGAGAGAGAGAGAGAGAGAGAGAAAGAGCCCTACATGAAAAAATCTTGGGACTACACAGGTTGCGTAATTACTAACAATACCTTAGACTTTCAGCACAGCAAATTTTAAAATCATTTAAATGTACTTAACTCCTAAAGAAACAAACCTGTGAGGCTGCCCTCTTTGTAACTTGCTCAAGATCTGCTTGCAATTTTCGCTGCTGTTCTTCATAAACTTCCAGCTTAGCCAGCAATTCTTCTGTAAAGATAATTATCCCCATTCACTGATGGCATAAACATTTTGTCAAGAAATATTATGTGAGAAAATCAAAAGTTCAAACAGTGATCACAGAAACAGTCAGTGTAAGGACCATGGTCCAACAAACTAAACTATCCAGCATGGGAAAGTATACCTAAATACACACATCTGTATTAAAATAAATCTCAGTAGAGACCCTGGTTGTCTCCTTTGACACTCCCACCCTCCAAAGAATATCTATATATGCAAAGCTGGGCATTGTTGGCTTTCTTCTGAGTAACCAGCATCTTTTATCATAAGTTAGTTTCTGAATACTGCAATGTTTTAAAACTCAGCTGTATCTGTGTGTTTGGTCTTGCTTGGTCTCCTTCACTGTCTGTGAAGATTCTCAATCATCCAAATGAGGTTATCTGGAAGTTCAGTCATGGCAACGGGACTGCTACATATCTTAATATTGTTTTCTTTAAAAATAGTGATGAACTAGATTGCAACTGTAGTCTTTTTATTTATTTATTTATTTGTTTGTTTGTTTGTTTGTTTGTTTGTTTCCCCATTGGTGCACAGCACTATTTTTGGACTTACCAGCTTCCTTCCAAAATGACATACTTCCAAATATTCTATAAGGATTTTTTCAATTTCATTTTGCTGAGTAAGAGGGGATACACCAAGGGTGGCTTGTGACTATGGCAAAAGTCCTCTCTTTGTAAGTCCTCATCCCTCACAAAGAGCCACCACTGGAATGCACTTAAACTTAACAATCACTTAGAAGATAAATTGTGCCCTGAATATGTTAAGTGCCATCACAAAGCCCACTTTCCTTAATTTGCTGGAGCATCAGGGAGGTATTATGATGGATGGTAAAAGAGACTTTCCAGCATTTATGAACTCTACCATGAGCATGTGTACCAGCATCCATAGCTGCTGGGGACCATAAGTAATTTAGTTTTTCGCAAAGTGTAATGCAGGCAGATCAAGATCAGTGCAGTTTCCCATGTGAGGTGGAAAGCAACAAGGAAACTCAGACAAATCACATTGGAATAAGCAGAAATTCAATATCTCACCCTGCTCCCATCCACATTTACAATGATACCAATGAAGAATTTCATTACTCACTCCATATACATGGATAAAGCATGGATAATGGTTTAAAATGAAGTACCATACTTCTTCTTTCAGAACATACTGGTAAGGCTACCTTATAATTACTTCTTAAATGATAAAGTGAAACCTTATAATTACTTCTTAAATGATAAAGTAAATGTTTGTTTGTTTGTTTTGTTTACATTAATACCCAGCCCATTTAGTGAGCATGCCACTCCTCTGCGTGGCTTACAAAATATTACAAAACATACTGCTAAAAATGTTTAAACCATATAAAACATTAAAAGAAAACATTTGCAATAAAACTGTCTGTGAAGATTCTGTCATCCAGGTGAGGTTATCTGGAAGTTGAGTCATGGCAACTCAACTTCATTCTTATTAGGTTGAAACATTTCGCTACTCATCCAAGTAGCTTATTCAGTCTGAGAAAAGTTGGCAGGAGATCCCTGGTATATCCTCCATGTTGGTTTCACTTCCCCCTTGTCTGAATAAGCTCATTGGATGAACAAAGTATGGGGTGGTGTGTGAGGGTTCGGTATTATTATCCACATTTCTTTCAAATAAACCAGGAGTCATTTTTAAACCAAACTCAGTGTCTTTGTTTATTAACTCAGGTACCTGTATAACTTCTTTAACAGGATTATGCTGTAACTTCTCTTGCAAGAACAACGGGTTTCACAAAGGTGTCCACATTTCAGTTTCGAACGGGTTTAACGATTTAGGCTCCCAAGGTGCTGGCAACACTAGTTCCGTCCCTGGGACTTCACCTTCCGTGGCTTCTATCATCAATAATGGAAGGGTCATATCACCATAATGGGGATCCCTCTCCCTCAAAGGTACCTATGGTCCTGGGACGATCTCATCCTCCGCATTTCCTCGACTCTCCATGCCCAGCGTTCCTCTGCTTCTCTCGCCACTGCTTCCTTTTCCTCTCTCAGGTGACGCCTCCACTCTCTTGCCTCGGATTCTCCCCAGTAAGATGGGCACTGGGGTAATCCATGGTGATGCCGGTAATCAGCTTCTTCCTGTGGTACTTTTACTTTTTCCCTTTGTCCTGTCCACGGATCTTCAATCCAGATCAACTCCCAACCCCCTGGTATATTGTCCCGGCTTGTATTTATATCCCCTGCTCCTGCCTCTACCACAGACCACCGTTTTTTGTCCTTCCCCACCAAATCTGACTCTATCTGAGTAGAGACGGTTAACCCTTGCAGACCTGTTTCCAGCTCCTGGGGTGTCTATGCCCTGTTGCATAGGTGGCGGAGTAGTCTGCATTCCTCTAGATGTTTTAGTGAGAGACGGCACTCCAGTGAGAACCTCACGGCCCTTGTCTCTTGTACCACATGGTGGTGAGTGAAAATCCCAGTCCTGCAATCCTTCTCCACTCATTTGTTTACAATAAAATTACAAATACTCTTTTGCATTATTCTCTTTAGATATTATATTTATCCAAAGTAAATTAAAAATATTTTCATTACTTACCATTTTGAGTTTTGAGTTCAGAAAATGTCTGCAACCTTGACTGTAGGTCTTCCTTTTCCTGTTCTAATTCTGAAATCTGGTTGTGTAAGGCAGTTACATTATTATTCTTCGATGTAATCTATAAAACAAAACATTGTTGTTCATTTATTTCTATATATAGGCAGAGAAAAGAATTTAAATTGAATCTCAAGATTAATCTGAAAACATTTGTCACATTTTTATCATTATTCAGTGGCAATGGCTTTAGCAAAATTACCTGTCACTAATAATAGTTGTCTATTCATCAATTATTGAGCTACAGTATATTTCAATAAAGTAAATTGTAACTATAAAACAGAATATTTTTTCATTATCTTAAATTTTAGGTCAGCACTGTATCACATTTTATTCTTTTGAATTGTGTCATAGAATTAGGCATACAGAGTCAAGTTTTGTTTAAAGGTTTTACATACATTTTTAAGCTCATCTTCAAGCTGCTTTATTCTGGATTTGGACCAAGCTTTCGTCTTAAGGAATCTTGCTTCAGATTTGCTGGCCTCTTCTGCTTTCAGTTTTACTTGAGCTTCAGCAAACAGAGATCTCTATCATTACTCAAAATTACAGTAAACATTGTACTATGAAATATTTTGTATCTTTAGCCTGGATTGCTTATGTATCAATAATGTCAGCACAAGACAAACATTTTAAAGGCATATCCAAATGAGACGTGACATTTAGTAATGGTTTCCTTACACAGTATGATTATATGAGATGAGACAGAGATTAGATGCATGGAAATTCAGAGATGTGAGCCCTGGATCACATCCCTCTCACATAGGCACTGTCCTTCCCTCATTGTCCATGTTATGTAAAATGGATTAAGCCTACTCAGGCTAAGCCCAGGACTCATTTCATTTTATCACAGGGATAACCCCCTAGGCTAAGTCTTGTGCAAAAAGATAGCCCCAAAGATGGCTGTTAAGGAATATAAATCACAGAATGAAAAAGATGAAGGGAAAAGGAATCCACAAAGAAAGAAAGAAACATAAGAAAAAGAACAATGTACAACTTGTATTCTCGAAGGCTCTCACGACCGGGATCTGATGGTTGTTATGGGTTTTTCAGGCTCTTTGGCCGTGTTCTGATGGTTGTTCTTCCTGACGTTTCGCCAGTCTCTGTGGCCGGCATCTTCAGACGACAGGAGCTAAAACTCTGTCTGTGTACTAACTAGCTCCTGTCCTCTGAAGATGCCGGCCACAGAGACTGGTGAAACGTCAGGAAGAACAACTGTCAGAACACGGCCAAAGAGCCCGAAAAACCCACAACAACCATCAATGTACAACTTGCTGACAGCTGGGGAATGCTTTGAAATTCCCCTCAGGTGCTGTTCACAGAACAGACAAAGGAGAACTGAGGAGAAACCATTGGGGAGCTGTTGGGCACGTGCAGTAGCAATGGGGGTAAGTGGGAAAAGGCCTCTGGCATAAAGCTCTGGAATCTTTTGATGATGGTTTCAGTGCAGGAGCCAAAACCCGTATGTGTGATTCAGAGAGCACAAAGAAGAATTACCAAGACAAGCATGGGTTCAATGTATTAAAGCAAGCAACTCCAGGACCTACTCAAGTTTAATATGATACCTTCTAGCTGTTCCAGCTTTAGTTTAATTACAGCATCCATATCAACAGCCTGCTCCAAATTACTTGGAATGGAACTTAATTTGTCCAAATGTTTCTGAAGCTGATGAAGAGCTTGATCTTTTTCCTGCAGTTCAGTTTCATGCTTCTCTTGGATCGCCTGTATGTCAACATTATACTTCTCTTTGACCTCTTTCATTTCCTTCTCATGTTTCTCCATCATGTCTCTCAACTGGGCTCGCATTACATGTTTTTCAGCATTCAGCTTTGACTGGAGATTATCTTTCTCAGACTGAAGGTGGTTCAGATGTTCATTAGCTTCCTGAATTAAAACAATAACAATTTAAATAAACAAATATGCAAATGATTTCATATGTAGGAAACACTTTCTTTGCACATACTCTGTGCACAAAAGCTTGGGCCCAAATTATGCCTTCTGCAAAACAGAAGCTGAAACTAGAAATTCTACTCTGAAAGTGGGTGAAGAAAACGATTTACTGAGCTGGGGGGGCGGGGCAAAGTGTAGCCAGCACAGTTAAATTGTAAAGTGCCAAGGCAATATTTTAAGCGCTATGGGGCAGTATTTAAACAACATGCTTTGCTCTGGATTCTCCAACAGCACCTCCCACATTGTTTCAGAAGTTCCCCACCTACAAAGCACATTTCCATGGGTTATAAAGAGCTACAGGGTAGCAAGGGAAATTCACTGCAGCAGAAACACCCACAGTATGAAATTCCAACAAAGGGATGGTTGGGAACCAAGACAATCTCAGTTATCTATCAGGACAAGGTCCTGTTATTTAACAAGTTGTTAAAAAATTAGGGGGGGAAAGAGCAAGGTACTTTTATTTATTCCTTTCATGTATCTATCTTTTGAACCCTTGAGGACTTCAACACAGCACACCATACATACATCAGTATGTATAAGCCACGGAAAATCAATAAATGTAACAGGGTTGGGCAGCTCCTGACACTGTGGGGCTGCATCTCAAAGAACCTTGGAGGGCTTCACCAAGCTCACATTTGCTACCTCAGAAGACTGCACCTGCCCACACCTACCACTGAAAAATGCCCCCTGAAGGCTTAAAGCTGTTTGTAGTGGGTGTTCTGAAAATGGCCAATCACGTCCTCCGGAAGGTTTCAAGAGCATGACTGGACACATTTTGGCTACATTTTCTTGGGAGGCTGAGAAGAGTATGGAGGTCTGGGAGCCAAACAATGGGCTTGAGAGTCACGTGGCGTCCCCATGAGCTGCACTGCGCCCTACCCCGACATAAAACATATAATACCAAAGTACGATATCCAAATATAATCAAAACCCCTTTAACTTACAAGTGGGATTCTTTTTGTATTTAAAAAGGCTACATTTTGTAGCAGTGTAAAAATGTCAACAATGTGCCTCTTAGTCACTAGACTTTGTAACCTGACCCTTACTTTGAGCTCCTGGTCCTTCGCATCCAGTTCTCGTTGCAACATGTCTATCACCTGTGTTCTTCCTAGCATGACTTCCTCTTTTTCATGTAGCTTCTGTTTCAAGGCTTTCAGTAACTGTTAAGGACAAAATATAGTTATTTTAGGAATCTGAAGAAAAAACAGCTATCCAGAAGTGAAACTTTCGATTGTCCTATAATGCAGTGGGGTTCCCAACCTTTTTGCCTCCATGGACCGGTTTACCATGCATGCATGGGGGCATCCATGTGTGCGTGGGAGGGGCCGCGTGTGTGTGACATGCATGGGAGGGGCCATGGGAGGGGCGTGCATGCGTCTGCGTGTGCGGGGGGGGCAGATTTGTCTCCATGGCCCAGTCCTGGCAAGGCCACAGACCAGGACTGGTCCATGGACTGGGGGTTGGGGACCCCTGCTATAATGTTCCCCTTCACCCTTGTCCTTCTCTATGCCTTACATACTGTACATTTTCTTTACTCCATGCCTTACATACTGTACATTCTCTATGCCTTACATATTTACATACTGTACAGTTTTAACATTTCAGTATAAACATTGTATCTGCTTTGCACAAATAATCATCTGCTTTAGAAATATTAACCATAAATGCTAGCCATTTTTAAGGTCTAAGGGATGGAAAACCAAAGAGATTTTTCTGAACAAACCAAACAAGCTCTTGAGTAAGCAAACATAGAAGGACTTTATGATTCCAGGACAAGTATCAGAGGCATTTCAGAAGGCATTGCAAGGGAGACACCATATCCCAAATTATTAATAACCATGCCTGACTATTTTGAGGAATTTCTAAGGAAATTGGCCATATGGCAAAAATTAGCATTCTAAGAGCTTAAACCAGGGACACAAGTAATCAAATTCAGCATTCTAATTCCTCTGTTAGTTGATCACTGTACAATTCCTCCTACCTGTTCTAGATCAGCACTAGCATCAGATTTAGCAGCCATCTTAAATAATTCTTGCTCATGTTTCTGGGCCAGTTCCATTAGTTCTTTTTCTTTTTCCTGTATGATATTCTGAAACATAAGAATCTTTTAAAAAAAGAAAGAAAAGAAAATTTCATTTTAATTTTAATCAATTTTAATTTTGATCAATAACAAGTAAGCTCAGGAAACTGTTTTCATAATGCCCACCTTACATCTAAAAGTGTTGTTGGTAAATGTCTGTCATTTTACTGTTGAACAATCAAAAAGGCTAATGGAGAAATGTTGGTATTCAAACCCACTGATTAGGACAAGTCCACCCTGAATTTCCTGTCACAAATCAGTATAAAGACAATATTATTTTGCAACAAACCATCCAAATGTCTGAAAGGGTGTTTCTGGTACAAAATACCCAATTACAAATTTGTATTACAAACTACAATGTGAAAATTTTACCATTTTACATACTTTAAAAAATCACAGTGTTGTTATTTGTGCTAACTTAATTTACCCATGGATACAGAAGTTTTATTATTTTCCTTATTACAAGCCAAATTCTAAACACTGAAGGATTGATCAGTTTTAACCAAATGTTACTTACATTTTGTGTGTACATGGCTTCTCTTTCCTGGAAACGCTCTTTCTCTTTACTTTGAAGATTTCTCAGATTTTTAATTTCCTCCTGCAGAAGACTACATCTTTCTTCACTATCTTCAATTTTCTTTGTAAGGTTTTGAACAAGGCTCTGCATACTTTGCAATGAAGCTTCCTTTATGGAAAGCTGGCTCTTTGAAGTTCACAAGAAAAGAGAATTAGAAGAGAAGAATGAACCCACTGCATCAGGAAAAGCAAGATCTGAGGGCCTGGGGGCCAAATCCAAGCCTCTAGGCCCCACTGTGGCCAAAAATGGCAAAAAATGACTATTTTCAAAGGAAAAAAATCAAACACTCCTACTTTGGTTTGGGGAAGTGGGGAAGTCTTGGGGGAATCCCATCAGGCTGATGAGGAGAAAAAGGCCGCCAAGGTGGCCTTTTTCCTCCATTTTCATTTCTGACTTTGGGAGCCTCTAGGGCAGGGGTCCCCCAATCCGCGGTCCACAGCCCAGTGCCGTCCCCCCCGACCAGTCCACAGTGTCAAAAAGGTTGGAGACCACTGCTCTACGGTGGTGTCTAGGACCACAAAAATGCCACACTTTGGCCCACTCATGTATTAGGCAATCAACCTGTTCAATTAAGTATTTCTCAGGTTAACTGAAAAAGCAATAGTGAACAAATTACTTTATATTTTATATCAGCAGTGATTAAAAGTTTTCACTTTTGTGAATGCTCATCTGCATATTGAGGAAGATGACACACTTGCAGGTGAACTTCTTTTGGCATCAGCTAAGACAGCATTTATAAAATCAGAAGATACATATACCTTTAATTCATTGTTATGTATTAGTATGTCTTTGGCATCATTAGTTGATCCACAAGCCATCTGTAAACCAATTATGTAGGCTTCCTTTTCATCTAGTTTTTTTTGCTTCTCAGCTAGCATGGCATCCATTTCTTCTCCCCGCTGATGTGCAGCATCCAATTCAGCAATCTAAAAACAAATCATTATTTCATCAGAAACATCACCTGCTATTGTTACTCCCTATACCAGTTTTAACACTCTGCACTTGTCATATAACTACTTTATCAACATCATTCAAGCATGATTCCACCTTTTCAGGATTCAATTAACTCCAGTGGCTTAAATAGCAAAATGATTTTCATCTGATAGCTCAGTTGAAGTAGTTGATTCAAAATAATGATTGCTGTTCTTTTAAATGGCATTTGAGTCTTACTACGGTAGCATGCTTATCAACTATTAATATTACTTCATAATGTTGGCTAGGAAAAACCGAAAGCAAGCTGGAAATGTCTTCCTAGACAATTTAACTAAAACCAAGTTTACAATTGTCTACATTTTTGTATGAATTCCACTGGTTTTGATAAATTCTGCTTTTTCCTAGAATTTCCAAATGATCAACATGGCAGGAATTTTAAATATTATAAAACCACTAAGAATATTCACAAATGACATCTGGCCTCAGATAAACTTAATATCTAACACACTGATCCTGCAGTTCTATGAACACTTTTAGGGGAACAGAACTTTTTTTCAATTAAGTCAGGTAGGAACTGAGCAACAAACAACAAACTCTCATTTACATCTTCTAGAATAAATGCATCTGGCCAGGAAAAAACCCTATAGGAATAATCACTACATCTTCCCCGTTTCTAATAAACTCCTCACTAATAATATGTATTATTGGCCACTATGAGTATCTGCTTAAACTTCACAAAAAATACCTGCTCAATCTTTAAAAATATTGCTATTTATTTATTTTGTTTGATTTATATTCCACCTATTCCACTAAAATTGTGCTTAGGATGACTAACAATATGGAGTCTAGGAGCCAACAACATATGCTTATTGACAGAAATGCTTCCATCAGTGGAATTATTAAGTGATTATCCTCCCCACTCCAGTTTTGTTCTCCACACACACACACACAAAACCCTGTTCTGAAGCTGCTCAGATCACTGGCCATCTATCACACTGCAGCATGAACACAATGTCCAATTTAGGCTAGATAATTCAAAATTAGAAGTTGTAAATCAAAGAATCACATCCAATGAAACACACATTGGCTAAAATCCTGTTGCAGTAGAAAAGGTCCGCTTAATCAGTGAGGATTTGGTGACTCAATTCCTCCTCATGTATCATTGATTCAAATGGGTCTCCTCTATTTATAACATACTTTAGTGTAGTAAGTTGTAGATAGAATAGGTCCATTTGAATCAAGAGAACTTAGAAAGGAGTTGACTCACCAAACCCCCACTGATTCAGTGGGCCTTCTCTACTGGAACTTACTATGTTAAACAATAAGATTTCAGTCATTAAATAAAAACACATATAACAATAGGATTTCAGTCATTCAATAAAAGTACATTAAGAAAAGTAAGTAGTAGAATAAGAAAAAACAAACAGCAAATCAGTTTGGAAGCCAGAATTCTGCCTAAATAAGAATGTGTTTGCCCCCTGCTACAGGGCAAAAGAGATGGAGCTGGTCTGGCCTTCCTTGGCAGGGAATCACAAAGCCGAAGTGCAGCTACTGAGAAGGCTGTCTTTCTGCCAAATGTGCCTCAGATCATGGGAGACACACGCAAGGCCTTTCCCAGGGAGTTTAAAATCCAGGCAGCAAGATATGGGAGGAGAAAATCTTTCAGATATTCTTGTCCCAAGAACAGGTAGCTCCAACAACCAAGGATATTTACACTCTTCTACAAAACCTGTACAAGAATGTAAATGGCTGGACAGTGTCATCGAAGCTACCAACATGAATTTGACCCAACTCCGGGAGGCAGTGGAAGACAGGAGGGCCTGGCGTGCTCTGCTTCATGGGGTCACGAAGAGCCGGACACGACTTAATGACTAAACAACAACAAAAACTGTACCTTCTTCTGGAGCTCTTCATTTCTTTGGGCATTCTGTGCTTCTAGTTCTTCTATTTTCTTTTTAAGTAGCAATATTTTCCCACGATTTGCAGCAGCATTATCCTGGTCCCCATCTCTAGAACCCTAAAAATGCAATTTGGTAAGCTTAGCCTCAAATAAAACAAATGGTGAACTAGACAATATCATAGGACAGTACATGCAAAGTATGGCACATGGGACACATGTGGTCACCCATGGCCATTTCTGTGGACAGCCCAGATATTTTTTTTAAAGGGTTCAAAAACTGTTAAAGGAAGTGGCCTTTGCTAGAGGCATCCAGGGAGAGTTCTGTTTGCATTAGAAAGACCGCAGCCCCCACGGGCCATATGTAGTTACTCTATATAATTTTTGAGATCCCCTTGGAAATGGGGAAAAAAATTAAAAATGTTCAAAGAAATGGATTCTCCTATTTCTGTTGGCATCCAGGAGGAGATGTGCATTAGAGGGACTGCAGTCTCGTAAGCCCAGACACCTACAATAACAATAACAAATCAAAACCAGAAGTAGACATCCAATCACTTTTTCAGGGTCCCCCCCCCATGTTTTCAGCATTTCCAGGCCTAGTCTTGCTCTTAGGTAATGAAAATCTGATCCCAAGACCCATGAAAGTTGCCCACCTCTGCTATAGAAATATTACTATTTTTTAGTTATAGCAGTATCAGTGCCTGTTTTAGACGTCTTTTCAGCACTTGAGAGTTTTAACAGATGCAATACGATGAATGAGCAAACAATTTCTTTTTAAAAGTTGAAAAATTTGAATTGTTTCCAAGCAAAAATAACTTAGGATAAAGCATCTGTCTTAAAATAAATCAATGTATTTGTCCATTTGGACCAATATATTCTATTCCAGTAGTTTACTCACAATATCATCTCAGAGATGGGAGGAAAACTCCTAAAACAAACAAACAAAACTACACACCATGCTACCTATTCAATCCTGGGAGTTCAGTTCAAGAAGGTACTTTTCCCTATCGCTGCATGAGCCTTCTAACCAAAGATGACAAGGACTGAGATTTTTGCAATTAAACCATGTGCTCATCAATAAAAGTATGATCTGTGCCAGTATTTTTAAGGAAGGAAAGAACCTGAAAGCTAATTTAATCCTGAATGCTTGTTTGCCCTTGAGTAATACTGCAAAGGTCATGCAAAACTATAAAGAGATTAATATTTTCTTTTCTATTCTTTTCTCTTTTTTTCCCCTTCCTGCACGCTCTAAAAAATTGCCTTACTGGACTTATTTAGAAAACATACAAAAAATAAACTCGTAATATTTTCAAATTATCGTCCCTGCCCCTCTTTCATGAAGCCCTGAGACTGCCTGAAAACTGGCCTCTAGAAGATTTCCCAACATCGAATCATCGGTTTTCACGGTGCTCAGGGACTGGGACTATGGTAGCAAAGTGTGATGTGCACATAGAGCAGAGAACCACATTCAAATATAGGGCATGCTCACTAGTTCTGTCACAAAACTTTCACTGCTTCAAAGAAAAGGAGCTCCCAGTTTAGGAAGCACATTGTCCAGTCAAGAGCTGCTACCACCACTGCAATTAAACTGAACACCTCCTTAGGATATGGTAAGGTAAAGGTAAAGATTCCCTTTGACAAATGTCCAGTCGTGTCTGACTCTAGGGGGCGGTGCTCATCCCCTTCTCCAAGCCATAGAGCCAGCGTTTTGTCCATAGACTGTTCCTATGGTCACATGGCCAGCACAACTAGACAGGGAACGCTGTTACCTTCCCACCATGGTGGTACCTATTTATCTACTCACATTTGCATGCTTTCGAACTGCTAGGTTGGCAGGAGCTGGGACAAGCGACGGGAACTCACTCCGTCACATGGATTCAATCTTACGACTGCTGGTTTTCCGACCTTGGAGAACAGAGGCTTCCCTTAGGACCCAGTAGCACTATCTAAAATACATTGGTACCATGGCTTCTAGTCTGAGGAAAATAGTAACATCTGGATTTGAATCAGTGATACAACTCACTTTCTTTTGCTCAGATTTTCCTTCTTTTGTTCCAGCACCTGACAGTTGTTTCTTAAGTTCCTCTAATTGTGAAGTTAAGGATGTTACTTTTGCTTTGTTTTGCAGCTTCAGTTTGGAAATTCTGGATTCAGAGGCTTCTTTTTCTTCCTACAGAGTATTGAAATGTAGTGTTTAGACCTAATGAAATCTGGACACACAATATAATAATTCTGAGGATTAAATGTCTATTATAACCCAAATGCATATCAGAGCTAAATATAAGACAGGTGGCCTTGAGCCCGATGAGAAAATGTATGTTAGAAATACAAAATTGGAATGGCTAATTTTAACCCTCTGTTTATCATCAGCGTCTGTCCATACTTGGGAAACATTTAGTATTTTGAGTGACAATCAGAGTTGGCACATTATGGAAACTTACAAGTGGAAGGAAGCTGTAAGCTCCTGCTAATTACGATAACAAATTCCAGTAGGTTCTAGCTTTTCTAAAATAGGTTTTCATGAAAACAGCTCACTCTTCAAGACAACTGGGAAGTTATGTGTAAATAAGACCTAGTCATAACGCATATACCTTTAACTGTTGCTCTTTATTGTGTAATTCATTCTCCTTTTCCTTTACAAGTTCTTTGAGCTGGGTTACCAGCTGTTTAGTTTGGGCCAGTTGTTCAGCCAAATCAGCCACTGACATGTTTGCTGATTGAGAAGTGCCATGAACCTAGAGACAGAAGTCTTAATTTTATAACAGTAGAAGAAAATTTTCATACATTATTGGAACACAAGACAATCTCCATTTTTTAGTATAAAGGCAATAAAGCTATAGATAAATAAATGTTTCCAATTCAGTAAATGTAGCTCAACTATTTAGTGAAGGAAAAAAACAAGTCCAGGGTGCAACCTGAAGTTTCCAACCAGTCAGAACTGTTCCACTTGCATATTTAATAGAGAAAAAATAGTACTGAAACAAAATTCCAAATCATTTGGAATAATTTTTCGTCTCAATATAATTCACTAGCTTTAAGAACTAGCATTCAAAAAGTTATGTCTATTACTGTGTGGGATCTGCCAAACTTAACTTTTTAAAAAGCTGAATCTACACCAAGCAATCATTTACATTTAATCCCAGGCAGCAGACTTGCAGTCAGCTTTAAAATTCACCAACAATAAATGTTGTATCAAAAAGTGAAATGATTTGCAGCATATACACTAATGAATACAGTGGTACCTCGCTAGACGCCCCCGCTGTACAACAAAACCGCATTACGATGACTTTTTGCGATCGCTATAGCGATTTGCAAAACAGTCATTCCTATGTGGGAATTCCGCTTGACAATGATTAGGTCCGTGCTTCGTGGACCATTTATTCACAAGACAACAATTTTTTCCGACGATCATCGGCTTCATAAAATGGCTGCCCTGTCTGTTCTGGACCCATGCTTCACAGTTCAGCCATTTTAACAGCTGATCGGCGCTCACAAAATGGCTTCCCTATGGGGGATCTTCGCTGGACGACGAGGTAATTTCCCCATTGGAATGCATTAAACTGAGTTTCAATGCATTCCAAAGGGGAAAGGCTTTTCGCATGACAACAATTTCGCTTAACAGCGATCTTCCTGGAACGGATTATCGTCGTCATGCGGGGCACCACTGTATAGGTAATACTAATAGTAATTATAGGTAATACTATAATAGATATTACAAATCATCAAAACATCATAAATCATAAATATGTTCACCAAAGCTATCTAGAAGAATATGTAAAAAGTTCACTGTATTTCAGTCGATAAAATTCCAAAGGAAGTCAGCTAGATCTTTAAAGAAAGTACTTACTCCAGATTTAGAGACTGAATCATCTCCGCTGCCCCATTTCCACATAGTTTTAAGGAGGCTATAGAAGAATAAAAGATCATTAATTAATTAATTAATTTGAGAAAATTCAACACCAATGATTATTTATTTATGGCACTCAAACTATAAAGGATAATCAAGATGGTGCACAATACAGCTATTAAATCATCTCAAAAGTAATTAAGATATCAAAACCTACAAACCTGCTAAATTCCAAATCTGGGAAACTAAGCTGCAACAATTAAAAACCTTTTATGATGTACAGCCACAAATATGTGGGGTGGGGAAGAAAACCAGATTTTTCCAGGAAGTATATATTGCACAAAGTGATTGGCATCACTGAGAAGGTTCTCACTCATTTCATTTTTACCAAAATCAGAATAAGAAACAAAGATTTTCCACTAATGTAAGAATGAGCAAAAGACCCATGAAAGCAAGCACTCCTTAAGATATACACGGATTTAAAATGTTTTTGGGATTTAATGTACAAAACAGTATCCTAAGTTTTGTCCAGGTGTAAATAAAAAAATACTTGAGAGGTTTTTGGATTACAACTCATCTGCTGTTCTTGGTATGTATACAGTACCTGTACTTCACTCTGACAATACAGTGGTGCCTCGACTTATGACCATGATCCATTCCAGAAGATGGACGTAACTCGAAAACAAGGGAGGCATGCAGGACCCATCGGAAATGGGGAGAAAAACCCAAAAAAGCAACCAACCCCCCAAGACCCATCGCAAATGGGAAAAAACACTCCAAAAAGCAACAAAAAACAATCGAAAAGTTCATATGCAGGGATGTTCATAAGTCGAGGGTTGACTGTAACTGGGCAGAATGCATCATTTTTAGAAACCTGGTGCTACTTTTGATGACTAGACTGAAGAGGCTCTGCTCATAATAACCCTAAGCATGAGATGTTATAACTGTCATTAGGCTGCCTCAAACAAACTGAACTGCAATTCCATAACCCGCAGTGCCACCACGTCCCATTTACTGGTATTCTGAATCATGGATACAGAAGCACAATAAGCCACATTCATAAAAGAGAGTTTTTTCTTAGAATATATATAAAATTGTACAACCCAACATGTATATATGTTTATATAAGAATGACTGAGTTGTGTTATTTACAAAATCGAACACTGTAGACAATCAGATTCTGTCTGGTGTGGGCCAATAGTTAAGAGGGTTAACTGCTAAACAGAAAAAAGGGGGAGGGGACAGAATGAAGTTTATTCTATTTGACTCTTAGCATGAGCTTTTTCTGTTGAGTGGAGTTTTCCTGTAATGTTGTCTGCTTTGTTAGCATGTTAAAAAAGGAAGCTATTATGAAACTGTCATAAATCTGTCTAGCAAAAATCTATACCAAGTAAAATGTTCAAGTGTTATTAGTTTATTTTTCAGCATGTTATACAGTAAACATTCCTAAAGTTTCACAATGACTAAATGGACTTTATTTCAACTGCTGGCACACACAAGTTTGTAGATATATACCAAGGATCTTTTCATGATCTGTGTCTTTTTTTACATACTCACGCTTGAGCCATTGTTTGTGTAAACAGTCATTTTAACAGTTTTTAATGAATTGAACAAGTATTGTTTTGTAAAGCTAAACTGCTTTCCTCAGGTGCTACAAAGCCATATCCAGTTTCCGGAGCTAGTGTTGTAGAAAATTAACTAGAGTCTGGCCTAGTCTGCTCTAGGTCTACACTACTCCAGATCACCTATTATTTCATTCTTTCCCAGCAAATAATATCAGAATGAGGCACCTGCTGTGAGCAGAACTCCACAGAAGGTAGCTTTGCTTATCCGAAATTTCCCATCTCCATTCACCTCTCACACCACCTCATTCAACTGTTTCTGGAATTTTGAGAAGGTTTTCTTGGTCAGCTTTGGACAAATAAAAGAAAGAAATCATTGGGTAAAAGTTTTAAGAGGTGCTTTACATCTTTATCAGGTTAAAGTTTTTTTATTAAAGGGAAAAACTGCAAGGAAGCAGGTAAGATGAGCAACAAGATAAGCATTTTAACATAGGACTTGGAGACAAGTATACCTTTTCCCTGAGAAGTAAAGGCACAAGAGAAGACTTGCAGTAAGGAAAAGTAAAAACAAGACTAGCTTTTGTTTGTACATGTCTGTACACACCCTCCTGTCAAAATGCAACTATGCAGAATTAAGTGCCAGCAAATTCAGTGGAGCTTACCTTCCTACAATGGCCATAATCCACTGAGACTGATTAAACTTGTACACAGGATCAAACGAACACAGCAGACCTTTTAATTTTCTTTTGTAAGCTGTACTTTGCCTACATTTCATGAATTGCTACTTTTAACAGCTTCCAAAGCACACAGCACTGATGGGAAGTTTGGAATGTTACTTTCTTCCACAACAGAACCTAGAAACCTTCAGTCTGCATGTCCGGAGTCATAGTTCCAAAAAGATAACTAACAAGCTCTGGCATTGGGAACCTATTGTTTAATTTTGTTTAGTTCAAAGTGAAAAGCTCCAAAGTAAGCATGGTTCCCAAATACATCAGACCTTTTGATCAGAAACCTCTTCTCACCCAGCTAAGATCTGATTCTACCCCATACTTCTTTGTGATTCATTAACATGCTGTATTGAGAATGTAAATACAGTAAATAAAAATAACTTTTAAGGATTAGTAAATGTTTTTTAAAAAAAAAAACAAAATATTACCAAACAAAAACTTTCCATCCATGGACCCACTGTTTGCTGGAGTTCTTTTAAAAGAATTTAGAAAATCTCCAGATAATTTAGACTTTAACTCCTAGAAGCATCATACTGGCCAATACTAAGGATTTATACCTCTGAAGACCTAGATTCCCCGTCTCATTGCAAGGAAACCTATTTGTCCTTTAACAACCACAAAGACATAACAAACATGATATAGATGCTATATTTAAAAATTATATAAATCATATAATGTACTAGAAGCAAAAAAGTCTTGTGAAACCTTGAAGGCTAACCTGTTTTATTTGGTATAAGCTTTTGCAGACTGTGGTACACTTCCACAAATGCTTGTGTCTAATAAAACTTGTTAATCTTTAAAGATGCTGCAACACTTCTTGTTGTGCTCAATGCAACAAACTAATATAGTTACCTTCCCCCAAGACATTTATTAAGAGCTTTATCAAATTGGGACCAGGACTTGCAGTGGTAATTTTTGAACATTAATGACTTCCTCCAGACCTCATGACCCACAAAAGCTTTCCTAAAAATTGGGGACAGGAGAGATGATAAACATTTAATCTGCAATAAAAAGCCACAGCTAATAACATCATCATCTTTATTCGTATGGAGCTTTAAAAGGGATAACAGGGTTCATGTATATTCAAAAAGCCCTCCAGGGTTGTTGTAATAGGGCTCATGTATTCTGAAAAAGCTCTCCACTACTGTTGTTAACTTACATTTGTCATGTTGAAAAAAACATAAACCCAACAATATTCACCGCTCTATAGCTTACTCTTCAGAGGTAGTACATGTTCACATCTTTTAAAAGATATGAATAATAAATTCAACCACAATCTATACTATGAAGCTACTCTATAATCCTATCAGCATATTCTTATATGAGAATGCTTCCATAACAGCAAGGGGGAGACCACTCTGGAATATAGTTGTTACGCTACATGAACTAAACACTCTAGTCTGCACCGTTTCAGCTTACAATACTTCACAAAGTGGGAAAAAACTCCTTATTAAAATATTTACACACAGCTTGTGAATCATACTTGCTACGTTCAGAGACAGGGTATCCTCCCTCCTGACATTTGATCAAACTTTTTTTAAAAAAAATAGCCATTTTATCCAACTTGAAATTTCCCATAGCACATTCTCATTTTTCTTTTAACCCACGTTTCTCAAACTATGAAACTGAAATTCTTCCAATGAAATAATATTTTCCAAGTTACAGAAGGAGTACTTTTAGTACCTGACTATCTCACTCTCTGGAATTTTATCTATCTATCCATAGGTAAAGGGAAAGGTTCCCCTTGACAATTTTTATCCAGTCGTGTTTGACTCTAGGGGGCAGTGCTCATCCCCGTTTCCAAGCCATAGAGCCAGCGTTTTGTCCGAAGACAATCTTCCGTGGTCACGTGGCCAGTGCGACTTAGACACGGAACACTGTTACCTTCCCACCAAGGTAAGGTAAGGTAAAGGTTCCCCTTGACAATTTTTGTCCAGTTGTGTTCGACTCTAGGGGGCGGTGCTCATCCCCGTTTCCAAGCCATAGAGCCAGCGTTTTGTCCGAAGACAATCTTCCGTGGTCACATGGCCAGTGCGACTTAGACACGGAACGCTGTTACCTTTCCACCAAGGTGGTCCCTATTAATCTACTCGCATTTGCATGCTTTCAAACTACTAGGTTGGCGGGAGCTGGGACAAGCGACGGGTGCTCACTCCGTCGCGTGGATTCGATCTTACGACTGCTGGTCTTCTGACCCTGTAGCACAGGCTTCTGCGGTTTAGCCCGCAGCGCCACCACGTCCCTCCCAGCGCCACCACATCCCTCCATACCTGCCCCCTAAAGCCTCATTTCCCTTCCCTATAATCCTAACCTCAGTGAAAAGAATAACAAATCAGAAATGGAAAAATTAGGGTAGCAAAGCACAATTAATGACAATTTCAGCTGAGGATAGTCACAAGTCAGCATTCGCATTTGCTGTCATGAGCAAAGCCGTTCATGTAAAATAGCAAATGCCTATGCCCAGTTCTGAATGTGCAGCCATTCGCAAATGAGAATTATGCCAATGGAGTTATACCAATGGGAATAAGTAACAGGATCCTGACCAAATTACATTGCTTTTGTTTTTAACTTTTGTATGTTTCAACATCATAAGACATTTCAATTGGTTTATTTTTATTTTTAAAATGCATATAATAATCAGAATAATGAATACTGATAATTCAATTATTGTTTACAAAGGGGGAAGAAGAGAAACAGAGTGAAAGAAGAGTCCACTCCCTCTTTGACAATTAGGAATTCCTCTTCAGACTGCAAGTGATAAAACTCAGAACAATTTGTACTACTCATATACATGCATGGTATTTGAAAGCAAAATCCACAGATGGCCATTGCTTTACTTTGACCTCTGTAATCTTCTAACCAACTGCCTCCTCTGAAAAATAAATCCTTCTTTAAATCCATCTGATTCTGCTCACAAAAAAGAGACGAAAAATGCCTTCTGTATTATCACAAACAACAAGCAGATTTTTAATCTCTCTGCACTTTTTTTAATCTAGTAAATAGAGATGGGAAGGCTGGGGGGGCTAGAAAAATTGGGGAAAAGACAAGCCTTTTCCATTCCTTTCCAAAGCAGTTTTTTGTTTTCCAGAAAAATCGAAGAAAATATGGACTGTGGAATATGTGATTTACAATGACAAAATAATATGTCTATGACATGGTATTTAAACTGTATAGAATGAAGACCTCAATGAAAGACTGTTGAGACTTCATGTATTTAAGTTTTCTGTAATAAATGCTGCATCTTGTGATCTAACTACTGAGCATTTTTAAGGATACATGACAGAAGTCATATCCCCCAGCTTTCTAAAGGCATACAGTATTCTATTATATATTTCAGTCTTGTTTATGGGTCTCTGAGGAATTCTCAATCAGGCTCTCCTTCAAAGCTTAAGAAGCAGTTTCAAGCAATATACTGACCTGAGAAATTAGCCTTACTGAATTCAGTAGAATTTATTTGTTATTTCATATATTTTTATCCCAACTTTCCTGCAGTAGGCTCAAAACTCTACAAGGGGGTGCTGATATTTAAGCTTTCCCAGAAAAAAATCATCTAGGAAGCTATAAATTGCAGGGTGTGTTGGCCAATTTGTATTCAATGGTGCAAAAATCAACTACCTATGATTTTAACTTAACTTTCATTTTCCGGTCCAAAGTGAACATGGTGGCACCTCCAAAAAAGTTCAATGTGGAAGAGCATAGGACCATTATCAAGTTCCTGTTTCTCCAAGGTCCAAAGCAGATCCATGATGACATGTCACAAACTATGGGTTACAGTGGCCCTTCATATCCAACAGTTAAACATTGGGTTGTCAATTTTAAAACTGGCCATTTCGGTATTGAAAGTGAGAAACCCAGTGGAAGGCCTGTTTCTGTCTCTGTGCCTGCAAATGAAAGCCATCCATGACATGATCATGGAGGACCGCTGAGTATCAGCCAAAAGTACAGTAATGCCATATATCTGAGAATATCACGTGAGAGAACCGGTGCCATTATCCACAATGATTTGGAAATGAGAAAGCTGGCAGAAAAGTGGATCCCCAAACTTTTGACAACCAAACAAGAGGAAACATGTGGGGTCATTGGTGGCTGTTTTGGAACATTTTGCAAGAAACAAGTCAGATTTCCTGGGCAAACTGGTATCTGGTGATGAGACATGGATCTACTGTTATGATCCTGAGACAAAAGAACAGTCTAAGGAATGGAGGCACAGT